AGCGGCCGGGCGTCCCCGAGGCGGGCTGCAGCGGAGACCGGCCCGGCGGACCTCGGTGCTGGGCAGCCGGCCCGGGGTGCGGGGGCCTGAGCCCAGGTCTCGGAGCTGTACCTACCTCCGGGGGTAGAAATGGGCCGGAATGGGCCGGAACACCGTCCCGGAAGTGAAACCCCCCGCCCCCTCCCCCGGAGCGGGCGACGTGCCGGAAGGAAATCGCTCACCCTTACACCGCCCCCCTCCCCGCCCCCTCCCCCGTGCTTTCCGTCCTCGCGCCCCCTCCCCGCCGCTCTTCCTCCGGCGCTGGGAGGGGGCGAGGGCGGCGCGGCGGGCGCGCGGCCGTGTCCCCGCCCCGCAGGGCGCGGTCAGGCAGGGGAGGGCCTGGGGGGCGGGGAGAAGATCGGGCCGCAGGAGGGGTTGGAGGGGCGGACGCCGCGGGAGGGCGTGCGTCGTGACGTCACGCAGAATGCCTATATATACGGGCCTCCGGGCGCCATTTCGGTCTTTCGGCGTTGGGAGCCCGCCGCTTCCGTGGAGGTAGGTGTCTGTCAAGTGTGCGAGCCAGCTCGGTCCGGGGGAGACGGCTAGAGCAGGTTCACTAGCGGGGACCCGCGGGGTGAGGATGGAGTTGCGCGGAGCGGTCGCCAGCGCGCGGGGGCAGCGGGGAGGGCTCGCGTGGCCGCCGGTGATGAAGCCTGTGTTGGTAGGGACATCTGAGGGTGTTGATGAATGCCAACGGCTCTGACGGCGGCGCACGCGGCCATCGGACTCGGCCTTCCCGGGTGTGCGGGGCCCGGGCCTTGGAATTGGCCCTGCGCACTGTCCCCGAGCTCGAGGCTGGCGTCCGCCATTGGCCACTGCTGCACTGGCCGCATTTGGGCGATTGGTTGGGGCTGCGGCTGCCTCCGACCTGCGATGCTCAGATCGCAGCCGTCGGGGTCGACGGGGTTACAGACGTGTGAGCCTCCGGCGTTGGGCCCGGATAGGCCTTGGTAACTGCATGGTCACCTCCGGTGACGGGTAGGCCTTGTAGGCCTTGGCGCACACGGCACCATTGTGCACAGCGTGCGATGCACTGCTTGTAACACATCAGTCATGGGTTTGGGAGGCGAAAATGGCAGAACGTCAACTGACACACTTTCTTCGCAGAGATGGTGCTCCAAGTGGAGGCAGCGTGGCTTTTGCTGACATCTTACCGACAGGTAAGATAATTGCCGAGAAACACTGCTTCTGTTGTAAAGCCTGTGATGGAATAAGAGTAGTGGACAGAAGGGATTTCTGAAATCTTTTGCTGAGGCTATATGATGTTTCATAGACTGAAGGAGAGTAATATAGACCCTAGGGAGTGTTCTAAAGTTGATTTTTTTGTTTTTTAGTTACCTGTAAAAGGAGGCGGAGGAATGAGGTAAGTTTCTGTAGCATCCACATGCACCAAGCTAAGTGGAAGGGCAAGTGTGCCACAGTGATGACATTATATTTGCTACTCTTGACAATAAGAATGATGATCAAGATAACCACCGTTAATTAACTGAGGCACACAGTATAGACACAAGGGCCATACACAGGAGATTGCCATTGAGTTTAAATACAGCTGTTATTTTTGCAGGTAGTGAAGAGCAAGCCGGTCTGGCCTTGGGCACAGGTGAGAAAGCTTACTATTCATGTAGGAATTTCAAAACTTAAGACATTAATAACATTGATAGTAAAACTTAGTACTGTAGATTCTCTGGCTGCAAAATTCAGCGGGTAAAATGACGATAGTCAACATCTGTTTCTGCGATTGTGGGGCTTTAACAACTATCATACACAACAGTACCAGTAATTTACCTAAGGGGAAATTTGCATTGTTTTGTAGGCTCTACTAGAAGAAAAGCTCAAATGGTAAGTAAAATTGTGGAATGGTAACTGGCAGAACAGGTTGGAAATGGTGCTACCATAATTTATACAGCACAACTACAGTGCATTGAAATGACTGCCTTTTCTGTCGTGTTGAATTTCCAAGGCATCATTTTTGCAGCCTGCATGATGATGAGCAAATACTGACTGAACATGAAGGTCTTATTAGCTCTAACTGATTTCAGGCATTGTTATTTTTAGGGGGAGAAGCCGCATGTATAGCTATTCTTAATAAAGTCCTTTCTTTTAGGTGCCATTTGAGATGTCTACTATTTTCTAGTAAGTAGTGGGAAATGGACAAGTGGAAGAGCACAAAAGCCAATACTGTGGCATGCCTACTAATAAGCTATTTAACTCCTGTAATCCTGTAACAAATGCTAATGCTGCCTGTGAGCCTGCTCTGACTAGGGTGTTTGTAATGATGTTGATCAAATGTCTGACCTGAAATGAGCATGTAGACATATTTTAACACTGAGAAACCCTGAAATAAGACACTCAGGAGATGAAATGATTGATACCAGTTAGTAATGAATTTTTTTTATTCCAGCTACCTGCATAAATATTGACTGCATCTCTTGCTCTTGGGTAAGAACATTCATTGTTCTTTTTTTATTGTAGCTTTATTTTTAATATATCGTTGATTTCTTTTTTTTTTTTTTGGTCCGGTTGTGGGGCCTGAGCTCTGGGCCTGGGCACTGTCCCTCAGCTCAAGGCTAGCGCTCTACCACTTGAGCCATAGCGCCACTTCCCGGCTTTTTTCTTTTTGCTTATGTGGTGCTGAGGAATCGAACCCAGGGCCTCATGCATGCAAGGCAAGCGCTCTACCACTGAGCTACCTTCCCAACCCATTCATTGTTCTTAATATATTGTTTCCTGGCATCTTGTGCTTATAGTTCTAGAATGTATGTAGTATTGACAGACTGAGATGTTTATTTACCAAGTTTAAAAATAGTGGCTTATATCTAATCATAAGTACTCTTCAGGCTAAGATAAGATGATCATGGTTTAAAGCCAACCCAGGCAGAAAAGTAATCCTAAGACTTTGCCACAATTAAATACTCCAAATTGGAAGTAGCACTCTTGCTTAAAGGGCAGAGCAGAAAGAGGCTCAGGGACAATGCGCAGGCTGCGTTAAAGACACAGCTTAAGATACTGTTGATAAAATGCTTGGAATATGAAGTTGATAGTTTTAAAATGCTTGGAATATGAAGTTGATAGTTTACAACACTTAGTTATTTTTCTTTCCAGGTCCTGCATGGAGAGTCGGAAATAAGGTATATAACTAATTAACCTAATGTATTTTAGAGCAAGGTAACTGTTGGTGATGATTTTTCAAGCTAAAACAGATGGGAATCTCTCTGATAAAAGAATGCAGAATAACTTTAAAAACTGAAACAGTGATTAGAGTTTAAATGAACCATGCGTTCTAACAGTCCATTGCTAAGTCAGTGTATTTCTGCAGGTTTATGAAGCATCTGCACTAGAATGGTCAGTGCACAACCGAGTTTTAAGTCAAGGTAAGGACATTGCACTTTTTGTGATAAGGATCAGCTAGCCATACTGCCTTGTTTGCATGCCCCTTACCAAAGGATGCACCTTTGAGAATAGGCACTCTGCATTCTGCCACTTGCCATGACTTACTCATTTGTCTTCTGAAAGCCGATACAATGATGATAACATAGTTCAGCAGACTTAACACTGATGAGCAATCCTAAGTCTTTCGCTCCTATCTGATGTATCTGGCTATAGTAACAATTGAACATAAATTTGTAGAGACTGCTTGTCAAATACTTATTGAAATTAATCTGTAAAAATGTCTTCTCTTCCATAATTTCAAGAATGAACATTGAAGCTGGGTGTGGTGGATTGAGCCTTGTACTCCTGTCCTAGATCACAGTGAAAGATCATGAAAGTTTTTAAGTGCAGTGAGGACGACAAAACAATCCAGCCTAAGACTTGCCAGGTTAGTAGGTATATGTTTATATTTGGCAGGATTCTAGGGGTTGATCTGGCTGTTTTGGAGATAGCAGTATTTCTGACAACTTGCAATCAAATCTTTTTTTGTGTGTGTCGTGGGGCCTGAACTCTGGGTGTGGGTGCTGTCCTTCAGCTCAAGGCTAGCGCTCTACCACTTGAGCCAGTGCCACTTCCGGCTTTTTGCAGATGTGCTGGGGAATCGAACCCAGGACCTCATGCATGCAAGGCAAGCACTCTACCGCTGAGCCACCTCCCCAGCCCTTGCAATCAAATCTTTGCTCATGGGTTCTGCAACTGGTCTGAAGTTAAGTGGCATAAATGCAAGTTTACCCAGATCATGTCAGCATAGCATGGAGAAATAGCCTTATAATGGAGAAATAGCCTTATGTTAAACTCTTCATGTCCTGAGTTTAGCCAATTTGACATCTCAAAGTGCATTTCTTTCTTCAAAACAGGTTGGCACTTTCAGAACAGAAAAGGTAAGTCAAATTTATATTCTATATTATTTTAGAATGTAACCCGTGATGTGATGATTCTGCCAAATGAGATGACAATGATATCACATATAAAACCGTTCCATTTTATTTCTGAGGTTACAATATTGAAAAGAACCACATGTGTGTTTTTAACTTAACATCAGTAACATCAGACTATTTTTTTATTTGATTTCTGTAGATCAGCAAGATTGAAGCTTACAAATTTCATAAGGTGAGGACTGAAAGGTGGCAGTACCCTATTTCAGGATATATGATGATCTCAACCTACCTTGAACTCTCTCACTGACTACTTGATGACACTAAGAGATCTGATATTCTGCTTTCTCTTAAGGAGAATTCAACTTGAAACAATTGAACTTCAAACCAAGAAATGTGGCTTAAAGTATGTTTTCATTTGCAGGTAGCTGGCTGTCTGCATGTCCTGGAATAGAAAATCAATTTTTAAATAAATTTCTATTAACCACTTTGAACTATGCTGGACTTTGAGTGTTGGGTTGCATATGGGCAAGACAAAACCATACTAGATGCTGAAAATGCATTAAAGGAAGTTTATTTAGAGGCTGGCATAAGTTTGGTCTGTGCAGGTATGAAGGAAGTATTGGAGATAGTGCTGTCTGGCCTTCACTTTCTTTACTTCATCAAGGGAACTATTGACATTACCAAATGCGTTTACCAAGTATAGTTTCTTAGTTGAGCTCACTGACATATAAGACCTGAACTTTTAGGTCCATCCTGATTTGTGCGACAAATGTATTAGGTTTCTTTATTCTCCTAACACTGAGGCTGAGCAGGTGGATATGTAGACACCTCACTGGTTTCTGGCAGGGCCCTGTGCTAACCTGAAGCACACAACTGATACCTAGTTAGCTGTACAATGAAAACTTTGACCTCCCAAGTCTGTCTCTGGGCTGCCTAAGCAAGCAAAATTAAAGATGATTCAGGTCAGGTGCCACTGGTGCTTACTCCTACTTGGGATCTGAGATCTGAGGATTGTAGTTCATAGCTACCCCAGCAGTAAAGTTCAATTAACCACTAGAAAACGGAGTGGCACTGGGCATAAGTGGTAGAGCACATTTCTTAAGCTGAACAGCTCAGGGTCAGCATCCAGGCCCAAAGAGTTCAAGACTTGACCACCAAAAGTGCTTCAGTCAGGCTGGGGAGGTGTCTCAGTGGTAGAGCGCTTGCCTTGCATGCATGAGGCCCTGGGTTCGATTCCCCAGCACCACATCTGCAAAAAGCCGGAAGTGGCACTGGCTCAAGTGGTAGAGCGCTAGCCTTGAGCTGAAGAGCTGAGGGACAACACCCAAGCCGAGTTCAAACCCCACAAAAAGTGCTTCAGCCTTGGGACATAAGTCTTTGGCAGCCTACAAGACACCAAATGCAATGATCTAGTGTGAGGCTGAAGCAGGAGAATTGAACAGGCTAGAGGCCAGCTTGTGTTTAGTAAGAACCAAACTGGATCTTGGTTGTCAGCATTTCTATAGGGTCAGAACTGGTGTGAGGCAGAGATTTTTCTCTGAGCTAGGTGCCCATGGTTCAATCCTAGTTTGACTTCTGCTGGGTGGTGATGGGCAGGTAGGTGAGACTTGAAGTACTAGGCCTGAGCTATCCAATTAACCATGAGAACTGTAAGTGGAATCCTAAATTTAGAGCAGGGCAAACATCAAGAAGGAAGATCAGGCCTTAGCCATTCCCATCACATGATTTTTATTGACTGCCAGGTGGCAAAGTCATAAACATAGCCAGAAGTGAGCTGAAGAGCTGAGGGACAGTGCCCAGGCCCGGAGTTCAAACCCCACGACTGGACCCCCCTCAAAAAAGATAGTAACTCCAAAAGGCATGATTGAAATGGGGTTATTTTTTGCATGTAGTCAAGGTTGATCTTTAATTCCTGAATTTTTCCTCCCTTGCCACTCATTTTTTGGTGCTGTGAATTAGAATGCAGGGGCTTGCCCATGCACTCCTAGTCCTGCAGTTTTTCAAAACATTCTCAACATGCTCTTCCTGCCAAGAGCCCCATGAGGGAGGTAGCCAGGACAGACAGACTGGATTTTACGAAAGGGACTAGGGCTCCAGTGGCTCACACTACTCGGGAAGCTGAAATATGAGGATCAAGGTTCAAATAAAGCCAGTCTTGACACCAAAATAACTAGAAGTGGGCTGTGGCTCAAGTGGTAGAGCACTAGCTCAGAGGCCCATACAAAAAAAGCTATGATCGTACCTGGGAAGGTAGCTCAGTGGTAGAGCGCTTGCCTTGCATGCATGAGGCCCTGGGTTTGATTCCTCAGCACCACATAAACGAAAAAAGCCGGAAGTGGCACTGTGGCTCAAGTGGTAGAGCACTAGCCTTGAGCTGAAGAGCTGAAGGACAGCACCCACACCCAGAGTTCAGGCCCCACGACCGGACCCCCCCCCCCAAAAAAAAAAGCTATGATCTTGTTTCTCATTTCTGATTTTGCAACTTCAGACTTGCCAATTGTGAAATATCACCACCTTTCACAGCTCTCCCAAGAATAACTTTCTATAATGTTTCAAACCATAGAGGTACATTATCAAATTGGATCTTGTTTTTTTTTTTTTACAAGCCAAAGTTTTGCTGATAGTCCAGGCTGACCTTGAACTCATGATTCTGCTGCCAAAGCCTGGCTGCTGGGATTTAGCCCAGGCTGGCCTTGAACTCATGATTCTGCTGCCAAAGCCTGGCTGCTGGGATTAAGTGTGGGCTGCCACGCCTGTTTCCTTACTGTGAAGAACACTTGGATTATTTCCACCCAAAGACGTTATGTACGCCCTGTAGCGCAAAAGCTAAAATTCAACTTTCTTGTTGGTGAGGCTGATTCAGTGAATCCTTTTGTGCTTCTGCCTCTGTTGGCCAGGATACCTGGATATGATAAGGCCTTAGTTCTTCCACTGGGACAGAATCTGGGGCACTGCTCATGAGGTCATGTCCCCGGAAGGATTTGGGGAAGGCTATGACATCTCTGATGCTTGGAGCTCCAGTGATGAGGCACATCAGCCTATCTAACCCTGTGAAGAAAATACAAAGTGAACAGAAGTGTCTAATTTTGGAAATGACTTAGTTTTTCTGTAAGTTGTAGAGAAGGCTAGAGTGTGGCCCAAATACTAGAACACTTGGCCATGAGTTCAAACCCAAGTACTGCCAAAGTAAATCTTGTAGACAATTCCTTGAACTTAGAGCTCCATGCATAGAAGGTAAGTGGCCTACTCAGTGAGCCAACATCCACAACCCTATAGAGACCTTTTCAATACTACAAATAACGTTGCAGTCAAATATTTTTAGAGAACTTGTTTGAAAAGTTCTTATTCTGCGGCACAAGGGTAGAACACTTGTTTGCACATAAGAAAACCTGGGTTAAAAAAAAAATCAAAGCTCTTAGTGCTGGGGTTTGAAATGAAGATGAGCGATTTTGACTTAAGCACCTACAATTCCTATTTTAAAAAGGAAACACCTTTGAGCTGGGTGCAGGTGGCTCATGCCGATGATCCCAGCAGCTCAGGAGGATTAGATTTAAGGACTGCTGTTCCCAGCTAACCCAGACAGGAAAGTGTTAAGATTCTTATCTCCGATAAACTATCCAAATCCTGGAAGTAAAGCTGTGGCTCAAGTGATAAAGTGTTAGCCTTGAGCGGAAAAGCCTACAGAAAGCACCTCAGCCCTGAGTTTAAGTCCCAGGAACAGCACAAACAAAACAGCAAAAAACTTTGAGGATCATGGTTTAAAGCCAGCTTGGGCAGGAAAGTCCATGAGACTTACCTCCAATAAAGCTGGAACTGGTGCTGTGTCTCAAGTGGTAGAGTGCTAGCCTTGAGCTGAAGAGCTGAGGGAAAGTGCCACAGCTGACAAAAAAAATCTCATGGACTTTGCTGTCCAGGCTGGCTTTGAGCCTCAATCCTCAGATCTCAGCCTTCTGAGTAGCTACGATGACAGGAATGAGCCATCATTGCCTGGCAGGTTTTGTTTTAATTACGTTTGCCAATCCAGGCAAGGAAAATCCCTGAGACTCGTCTCCAATAAATTACTCAAAAAAAGCCAGAAGTGGTCCTGCATGCTAGCCTTCAGCACAAAGGCTCCGAGGCAGGGCCCAGCCCCTGAGTTCAAGCCCTAAGACCAGCAAAACAAGCAAATCTTACAGATTTTCTGTCCCTGTTCCCCCAGGATGGCTTTGAATCTTGATCCTGAGATCTCAGCCTCCAAGGTAGCTAGGATAACAGATGTGAGCCACAGTGACTGACCACGTTGAGTTTTATCTTAATACTGGCAAAATATTTTTTTAAAAGTAATACTAGAGTGACTATTTAATAGATCCGAGATCCGAGACACTGGGTTCCATCCCTAGCATAAGCATAAACAAAACTAAAAACATGCAAATCCTCATAGAACTTTTACACTCAAGTCCTTCCCCCACCGTTAAACTGAAGGTCCGCATTTGCGACACAGTGCTATGGAATGAAATTATAAGAGGACTAATGCTTACCTAAGGCAATTCCTCCATGAGGGGGTGCCCCGTGATCTAAAGCCTGCAGCAGATGCGAGAGCAATTTCACATCTTCCTAAAATTCAAAAGATACTCCATTAAGGGTTGGAAAGGTGGCTCAGTGGTAGAGTGCTTGCCTTGCATGCATGACGCCCTGGGTTCAATTCCTCAGCACCACATAAGCAGAAAAAACCAGAAGTGGTAGAGTGCTAGCCTTGAGCTGAATAGCTGAGGGACAGCGCCTAGGCCCCGAGTTCAGGACCCACGACTGACCAAAAAAAAAAAAGAAAAAGAAGAAAAGAACATAGATTCTCCATTAAATATATACTTAAGCTATAATAAGTTCTTAGGAACTAATAGAGAAATAAAGGTTAGATGAGTTAAAGTACTAGAGACAGATCTGAAGACCCTGGTTTGAAGCTAGCCTGGGCAGACAAATCTGACAGACTTTAACTAATAAAACAGAAAACCAGAACTAGAAGTGTAGCTTAAGTGGTAGAGTACCAGCCTTGAGAAAAACTTTTGAGTGAGAGCTTAAAGCCTTGTGTTCAAGACCCAAGACTAACAGACAAAAATGAAAAAGTTGGAAGTGTGTCCAAAAACAGTTCTCTCATTATACTCTAGGTCAGAGTCCAGGGGGAAGCTTCAACAGGTGCCAAACCCCACCTGGTACAGCTTTTTATTTATAGAGGCCTAATGAGGTGTCAAACACATCAGTGATTTTTGTTTGTGTATATGCTGAGGACCTGGGCACTATACCTTGGCTTTTTCCGTTCAAGACTGGTACCCTACCACTTGAGGCACAGCTCTACTTGCAGGTTTTTAGTAGTTAACTGGAGATGAGTCTCATGGACTTTTCTGCCTGGCTGGTTTTGAACTGTGACTGTCGGATCTCAGCCTCCTGCGTAGCTAGGATTACAAGTGTGAGCCACTGGTGCTCATGTTGATATTCTTTTCTTTCTTTTTTTGTCAGTCATGGTGCTTGCACTCAGGTCCTGGGTGCTGTCCCTGAGATTTTTTGCTCAAGTCTAACAGTTTATCACTTTGAGCCACAGCTCCACTTCTACTTTTCTGGTGGTTAATTAGAGATAAGAGTGTTATGGATTTTCCTGTTGCCTTAAAACATGATCTTCAGATTTTAGCCTTTTGAGTAGCTAGGATTACAGGTGTGATGGATTTTATTTTTTAATAATGATTTTTTTAAACACTAAGTAATTCTATTCTAATGTGCCGCAGGGCTGAGAGCTGTGGAGGGATGGGGTACAGCAGAAACTGTGTATTCTTATACTTCTGAAAAGCTAACATTGAACACAATGAAAAAGGCAGGCTGCAAACTGGATGACTGCAGACAGGAGAAAGGTTACAGATCCCTTAAGGCCAGGGGTGGGGGGTGGGGGAGGAGGAAGGGGGTGGGGGTGGTCTGCCCTGCTTTGAGCTCTCCAAATCCATCCTATGTCACACTGCTTAGCGAATCCCATTTATTTATTTATTTACTTACTATTTAGTTTTTGCCTCTTTTGGGGCATGAACTCAGGGCCCAGGTGCTGTTCCTGAGCTTCTTTGCTCAAGGCTAGCACTCTAGCACTTTAAGCCACAGATACACTTCCAGTTTTGGGGTGGTTAACTGGAGATAAAAAATCTCACAGACTTAACTGTACTGTGATCCTTAGATCTCAGCCTTGTGAGTAGCAGCCATGAGTACCCAGCTTTGTTTTTTGTTTTTGTTTTGGTAGTACTTGTACTTGGAATTGAACTCAGCACCACCACATAAGTTTTTTTAGGAACAGAATCCTGAAATATTTTGTTAAACTAATCCTGTCTTCTACAGAATCATCAGTGACATTTAAATTCTTAGGTCTGTATCTGTATAAACTCTTCTTAATATTCTAACTGTCCTACTTTCCTATCACCTACATTTACCATGACCTGAAATATACCTAAAGTGTATCTGTGCACTGACATGAAATCTTGAAATTCCTGTTGGCTAGGTGTAGTGGTACATGCATTTAGGAGGCTGAGACAAGAGGATCACAAGTTCAAAGCCAGTTTGGGCAATAGAGAGAACTTGTCTCAACAAATCCCAAATCAACGATCCATCCAAACACACAATAACTACAACTACAATAATAGCAACATCTCTCTTTTTCTAATATTAGTCCCTGAAAATGACTTAATTTTTCCCCCTTCCATAAGGCCTTTACACATACTAGGCACTGAGTTACATCTCTACCCCACAAATGATTTTTTTGATAGTATAGTTGTTAGAGAAAGGCTCAAGAGCCACCCTTCAATACCTACTTCTACTTGCTTCTGTGCACTATAGGTTTGGGCAAGCTAAATAATCTGCCTCAGTATGACATCATCTTGTGGGGGGTCAGTTGTGGGGCCTGAACTCTGGGCCTGGGCACTGTCCCTCAGCTCTTCAGATCAAGGCTAGCACTCTACCACTTGAGCCACAAATGCCACTTCTGGTTTTCTATTGGTTTATTGGAGATAACAGTTTCATGGACTTTCCTGCCCAGGCTGGCTTTGAACTGCAATCCTCAGATCTCAGCCTCCCCAGGAGCTAGGATTACAGGCATGAGTGAGCCACGGCGCCCTGCAGTATGCCATCTTTAAAATGAGTAGAATAAGGGTATCAATAAGTTAACTGTGAGGATTAAATACATGAATGCATATATAGTACTTAAGCAGTCGTTGGCACATAGTAAGCACTGATAAGCAGCTATTACAATCATTTACTTTTGTAAGTCCTAAATGAAAGGTCGCAGGGTAAGGTGACACTTTTTATCAAACAAATTCTGCATTCATGATAAATACTAACAAGTGAATAATAGAACTGACAAAGAAGATTTGTTACCTTTAATAATGTTGCCAGGATGTACTGCTGCAGTTGTGCATCGTGAATTCGGATAGAACCACCTCCTATCTCACTGCCATTTAATACCAAGTCGTAGTGTTGGCTACGAACCTAGAAGAATTCATAGAGCCTTTGAATTAGAGGGAAATCTTGGTGTTCTGACCTGCAGAGTGAAGACACTATAATTACTTAGAAATAATATATAATAAAATATTAACTCTGGCCCACAGTTTTTTCTGGGGCTTCTAGAGTCTGGCTTGGTCCTTGTTCATCTTCAGACAGTGAACTTTAACTTCCTGCTTTACATGTTTTCTTTTACTTGGACATACAGATAGCGTACCTTTTCAGGCTCAGTGTAGAGGAGGTGAAGGTCACTGGGGTGGGGAGCAGTGAATGGGTGGTGAGCTGACTCCAGCTCTGTGGGACTTTCCTCCTTCGGAAGGAAGAGTGGGAAGTCCACCACCCACAGGAACGAGAACTGTGCTGGGTCACGGAGTACCATGCCTTTCGTTTCCAGAAGGTCAGCACACTGCAGTCGTAATTTTCCCAACAAAGAACACTGCAAACAGAAGACACCGACAGTAAGTTGACTTTTGATGGAGAAGCCTAAGACGGCAGCAGATGACACAACCTACATCCTGAGGCAGACCATTCTGTGTTAAAGCTCAGCCAGCTCAATTCAATGCAAAGAGCGTAGCTCTGTGGAGATTCTGAAATACACTTCGTGAGCTCTGGAGCTCTGAGGAGAAAAGCCTGCCTTGATTCTGTGATCCAGTACAGGTCTTATCAGATCATTTTCATGATCCCCTGAAAGTAGGCAGAGAGTAGGATTAGTAAGTTTTATAATAATTTTTTTTTTTGGGGTCCGGTCGTGGGGCCTGAACTCTGGGTCTGGGCGCTGTCCCTCAGCTCTTCAGCTCAAGGCTAGCGCTTTACCACTTGAGCCACAGCACCACTTCCAGCTTTTTTTCTTTTTGCTTATGTGGTGCTGAGGAATTGAACCCAGGGCCTCATGCATGCAAGGCAAGCACTCTACCACTGAGCCACCTTCCCAGCCCCAGTTTTATAATAATTTTGTTTCTACTCTGTCCCAACGTATTTTATCCAAATGTTTTGAGAGAAAAGGCTGATTCTGAATATAGCCATAATTTATTGGTAGATATTTATTTAAGATTTTCTTACATCTTAAAAAAAAAAACTTCAGCTGTGCAAAGGAGTTTCAACTTAACATGATAGTTTATTAGTACATCACATTTTGATGATGGTTGCCTCCCATCGTTCACCCCATGTCTATCCCAACCCTGCCTAGCTCTTCAAGTTTCTTAGTTCTATTTTCACATGATTTTTTTTTTCCCCGCACAGTGAGCATTCTCTACTTGATATTCTAAATTGATCCAAAAGGTTTGTTTCTAATCAAGAAGATGAGGCCTTTATGCCTGTATAAACATGGTTCCTATTACTTGGGGTAAAGAATTCGAATATACTTTTATAATTCTAACAGGCTAATGGTTAAAATAATTCTTCAGTCCAAAATTTTAAAGCCTTTTTCATGCAAGGAAATCTTTCTTAAAAGGCCAATAAAGGGGCTGGGTATGAGGCTTAATGGTAGAGTGCTTGCCTAACATGCATGAAGCCTTGGGTTCGATTCCTCAGTACCACATAAACAGAAAAAGCCAGAAGTGACACACACACACACACAAAGAAGGCCAATGAAGACTGTAGGCCTTCTGGATGGTAAGTAAGGTGGCAGGTAGGAAAAGGTGAAAAAATCTCAGAGGAATGAGGAACAGAGTCCAACTATTCTTTGACAAAGAGCACCAGAGACTTTCAGCCACTTAAAGAGTTACTGATTTGATCTATTGTGTAATAAATGTTTGCTGCTCTCTTTGGCCAACTCTGTATTATAAACTGTGTCCTATTTTTTTCAGAAGGTCTCATAAATATGCTTAATGAATGAACTGGCCAATTGGGATGAATAAGTGTATTAAGCGCCAAAGAATCAAGCTTTGAGGTCACTGGGGCAGAAAAGTTAGCTAGATTCAAACTCTAAAACAAATAACAAAAATAAGGCTAGAGGCTTAGCTCTACTGATATATCACCAGCCTATAAAGTATATCCTGTTGAAGGGCAGAGACTGAGGCTGAAGAGTAGAGAAGCTGGTATCTGAGGATTGCAATTTGAAGCCAGCTAGGACAGTGGAGTCAGAGTCTTATCTCCAATTAACCCCCCCTCCAATCCTCCTTCCCCCCGGCCCCCCGCAAAAAAAAAAAAAAAGGAAGTGATTAGCAGTTTAAATGTATTCTGATTTACCCAATGCTACCAAAGGGTAACGGTAAATATTTAAGAATGCTTGGCATACAGTTAATGTTTAGTAAATGCTGGCTATTATTATTATTATTATTATTATTTTATGTTAGCCATGGGGCTTGGACTCAGGGCCTGGGCACTGTCCCTGAGCTCTTTTGCTCAAGGCTAGCGCTCTACCACTTTAACAGTTCCACTTGCAGTTTTCTGGTGGTTAATTAGAGATAAGAGTCTCAGGGACTTTCCTGCTTAGGCTGGCTTTGAACCACAATCCTCAGATCTCAGACTCCTGAGTAGCTAGGGTTATTAGGTGTGAGCCACCAGTGCCTAGCCATGTTAATTTACCAGTAAATTTCAGAACCAGAGTTGGGGGCTAGAAATCTGATTCCTCCACTTACTAGCTATGTTACTGTGAGAAAATTTTAACTTCTGTGCTTCAGTTTTCCACCTATAATTGCTACCCTGGAGCCTTGACTGTACGTAGGGGTGCCTGTGACCAGGAAGCCTCCAATGTTCTGCAATGTCCCCCACATGTTTAAGCATACCTTATCAACAATAGTTCCAAGTACAAAATTTCCTTCACTTGCAAAACCTTGAAAAGAAAAATATTCTCCACAGTTGATTAATACCATTAACACGCTGCAGAATTCCTAATCTGTGTGAAGAATGCCAGTGGAGACTATAGCTAATGAGAAAAGACTCCAGTGTTTCCTCTTGTTTTGTTTCTCAGCTCTAGGGCTTGAACTCAGGGCTTCACACTCTCAGCTCGCTGGCTCATGGCTGGTACTCTACCATGTGAGCCACATCTCCAGCCTGCTCTCTACTGGTTTATCAGAGATAGAGTCTCACAGAATTTCTGTTGGCTGACCACCAACCTCAATTGTTAAAGTCTCAGTCTCCTGAGGATCTAGAATTTACAAGTGTGACCATTGGTGCTTGGCAAAATTCCATTTTTTAATATAGTGCGTTATAAAGCACTGAATGATATTCAGAAATGGAAACAACCCACCCAGTTGTTGGTTTAATTTTCATTTTGTCTTGTTTGTCTGTCTTTGGGAGGGTGGGAGGAGGGAGCACAGATATGGAGGGACAAAAGTACTCACTAGATACTACGTAGAAAATGAACCTGTGGGTAGGATAGGAGGGAAAAAATGGGAGAGATTAAGGGAAAGGGTGACATTGTCCAAAAAGAAAGGTACTCTTGACCTGACCTGTATACAAATAGAGGAGAGAACGTCCATATCACCTATACTGGGAGGTAATTTTTCTCACCGTTTTCTTATGCTCCCCAGCAGTTAGTAAGACTACATCTTCCTCTTGAATCTCCATTAGTCTGATTAATTCCAATCTCTGATCCTCTGTTACGAGTTTAGCAACTGGTGAATTCCAGTTTCTACTGGCTTTTAGGAATATAGGTAAGACTTCCTGTAATAAAAAGGGTTGTTTACATATTATTGTTATTATTAAGTTTGTACAAAGGGGTTACAATTGCATAATCACATTTTGTTTTTTTTTTGCTGGTCATGGGGCCTGAACTCTGGGCCTGGGTGCTGTCCCTCAGCTCTTCAGCTCAAGGCTAGCGCTCTACCACTTGAGCCAAGCACCACTTCCAGCTTTTTCTGTTTATGTGGTGCTAAGGAATCAAACCCATGGCCTCATGCATGCTAGGCAAGCACTCTACCACTGAGCCACCTTCCCAGCCCCTAATCACACGTTTTTAAAAGTGAGATTGATTTATTTCTTGTAGTTCAAAAATTTCTTGGTCCAGCTGGGCGCTGGTGGCTCACACCTGTCATCCTAGCTACTCAGGAGGCTGAGATCTGAGGATTGCGGTTCAAAGCCAGCCCAGGCATGAAAGTCCGTGAGACTCCTATCTCCAATAAAAACCACTAGAAAACCTGAAGTGGCGCTGTGGCTCAAGTGGTAGAACGCTTGCCTTGAGCTGAAGAGTGCGGGACAGTGCCCAAGCCTGAAGTTCAAGCCCCACGACCGACCAAAAAAAAAAAAAATTTCTTGGTCCACTGGAAACCAGTGGCTCACGCCTATAATCCTAGCTACTCAGAAGGCTGAAATCTGAAGATCACTGTTCAAACCAAGCCTGAATAGGAAAGTCCAAGAGAAGCTTATCTCCAATAAACCAGAAAAACAGGAAGTGGTACTGTGGCTCAAGTGGTAGTGTGCTCCCCTTGAGCTGAAGAGCTGAGGGACAATGACCAGGTCCAGAGTTCAAGCCCCATGACCGACAAAAATAAAATAAATAAATAAAAATTTCTTGGTCCTAGAAGAAGAGACTTGCCATGAATTATCTCTATTCTCTCCCTCAAGCCCTCAAGAGATAGGAATTTTTAAAAAGTATTCTCACTATAATGAAAACAAGAAAGAGAAAGAAAAGGGGTGGGAAGTAGCACCAGTAAGTTAAAGGTTTCTGTAAACTTTAGACCATTGCAAGTGATGGAGTGAGAAAGGCTAGATTCAAGAAGCTCCAGAGCTTCCAGGAATACAATGAAAGCTCCAGTGAACACTGGAGGTGGCCTCAGAACCAGGAGCAAGATTTACCTTGCAGAATCTGGGAAAGGCTTAGGACTCCCAAGAGCAAGTCCCTGGCATGACAGCCACTTACAAAGCACTGTCAGGAACCAAGTATTTTCACTCAGCTTTAAAAAAATGCCTTTTACAAGGTGCGGACTGAAGCCTTGCATAACCTGAACATGTCTTCTTCTTAACTATGCACAAAAGATCAAGTACTATATACTGAAGTAACTCTGCGGCCTTAAAAGAAGACAAGACAAAGCTAAAAAAAGAAAAATGACCTAAAAAATAAAGAACATAATTACAGGCCATGTATAGTAGTTCTTGCCTATGATCCTAGCTACTTGGGAGGTATAAGTACTAGGATCACTATCTGAAGCTGGCTTTTGACAGGCAAAATGAGATCCTAGATGAAAAACAACTTAAATAAAAATGGCAAGGACTAGGTCTCAAGTGGTAGCTGAGTTCACAACCTAGTGTCACCAAATTACCCCTCTACTCACTTATCATGAAAGGGTCCTTTCTTTCTTTCTCTCTCTGCCGCCTCTTTCTTTTTTCTTTCTTGTACATTCTTTTTTTAAGACAGGGTCTCCATATGTAGCCCAAGCTATCCTGAAACTTGTGGCTCTCCTTGCCTTAGCCTCCCCGGTGCTGGAACTACACTCACTACCACATCTAGCTCAAAAGTATGTTTCTATAGAAAAAGAGAACTGCTAGTTCTTTAACTTTTATGAAAAGCTCCTCCACCTTTTTTTTTTTTTGGCCAGTCCTGGGGTTTGAACTAGGGGCCCAGACCCTGTTCCTGAGTTTCTTTTTGCTCAAGGATAGTGCTCTACCACTTGAGGCACAGCACCACTTCTGGATTTTTCTGAGTAGATATTTTCTTCCTGGCTTCCAACAGTGATCCTCACATCTCATCCTCCTTAGTAGCTAGGATTACAGGTGTGGGCCACCATTGTCCAGTAGCACTTTTTTTTTTTTTGGTACTAATACTAGGACTTGAACTCAGGGCCTCACCATCTTGCTTAGCTTTTCCACTACTATAAGAGTCTCGCAGCTTTTTCTGCCTGGGCTGGCTTTGAACTGTGATTCTTAGATCTCAGCCTGGTGGGTTAAAAGGCTTTTCATTGTACATTAATTTTCACACATTTCCTTTACCCATTTTGTAAACTACTACTTTTATCTTGTTGAAAAATTCTCCTACTGGTCTTTGTGCTTGCTCTTTTCTTTCTTCTTAGGAGGTGGCAATAGGCTGGTTTCATTACATAAATGTAATGTTTTCACATGATTATGGACAGTAAAAAAAGCTCTGAATTTTCCTTTTCTTTCAAGTCATTATAACATGAACATTTTTTCCCCTATGTTAATAACGCTTTAGGAAACACACATAGAAAGGGATTTTACAGCTGGGTACTGGCAGCTCATGCCTGTAATCCTAGCTACTCAGGAGGCTGAGATATGTGCTTACCTGATTAAATTGGTCAGCTGCAAACTGTTTAATGGATTCAATGTCTTTCCTTTTTATGTGTTTCTGTCAAAAAAAAAATCAAAGTAACAATATGACACTAGTTTCATAAACACATTCAAAACATACATGCTTGAGAAAACAGAATCATGATTCACTTACGACTCCTTCAGGGACACAGATGGCTTTGGCCGTTCCCTGGGGCTTGCTAAGTGCATCTTGAAGAAATCTTATCTCTGTCTTTCTGAACACATTGCTGACATCTACAATCTAGAAAATGGGAAATAAAAAAGGGTGAAGTCATTTTTATCTCAAAATATTTAAAAAATACAATTTTAAAGAAGGAAGTAGATCTTGCTAAGTTAACATTTACAGAGTACATTAATAGCATCATGACTATACATTCATCTCATTTGCATACCAAGAGTATGAGGTTGGCATTCTTACTATTCTTATTTCTAAATGAGAAAATGGAGTGGCTGGGAAGGTGGTTCAGTGGTAGAGCACTTTCCTTGCATGCCTGAGGCCCTGGGTTCAATTCCTCATCACCAAATAAGCAAAAAGAAAAAAAGCCGGAAGTGGTGCTGGGGCTCAAGTGGTACAGTGCTAGCCTTGAGCTGAAGAGCTGAGGAACAGTGCCCGGGCCCAGAGTTCAGGCCCCACAACCGGACCAAAAAAAAAAAGAAAACGTAAATGAGAAAATGGAGACATAGATAAGGAATTAACTCATCCAAGATGACACTGTTTCTTTCAAGTCATTATAACATGAACATTTTTTTCCCTATGTTAATAACGCTTTAGGAAACACACATAAAAAGGGATTTTACAGCTGGGTACTGGCAGCTCATGCCTGTAATCTTAAAACAGTTTGACTTAAGAATCGCTATTTTAGACAGGTACCAGTGGCTTAAGCCTGTAATCCTAGCTATTTAGACAGTTGAGATTTGAGGATCCTAATTCCAAGACAGCCTGGCAGACAAATCTGGAGATAATATACTTATCTCCAATTAACCATCAAAAAGCTGAAAGCTGAGGTGTGGCTCAAATACTAGTACTAGTCTTAAGTGAAAAAGCCAAGCAAGAACTCAAGTCCAGAGTTCAAAACCCAGTAACAGCACAAAACAAAACAAAACAAAGAACCACTATTCTATATTTCAAATGAAGAAACAAGGAGTATGTATGTACTGTATATAGTAGAGTTTGAACTCGGGGACTCAGGTTTGCATGACTTGCTTACTCAGTTGGAACTCTGCCATTTGAGCCAGACCTCCAGTTCTGGTTTTTACTGGTTATTTTTAGAAATAGAATCTCACAGACTTTCAGCCTGGGCTGGCTTTGAACTTTGATCCTATGGATCTCAACTTCCTTAATAGTTAGAATTACATGCTTGAATCTCTGTCCAAGCAAAACAAGAAGTATTTACATTGTTAGCTATAAGTATGTAGTTATCATTTCGTGTATGTATATATATATATATATATATATATATATATATATTGTTTACATCCTAACAGTACTGACTATCCTAATAGTAGTGACTATTTATAGACCTGGAAGAATTCTTTTTTTTTTTTTTTTTTTGGTTGGTTGTGAGTCTTGAACTCTGGGCTTGGGCGCTGTCCCTGTGTTCTTCAGCTCAAGGCAAGCACTTGAGCCACAGCAACACTTCCGGTTTTCAAGTGGATCATTGGAGATGAGTCTCATGGACTTTCCTGCCTGGGATTGGCTTTGAACCGTAATCCTCAGATCTCAGCCTCCTGAGTAGCTAGAGTTAAAGGCGTGAGCCACCGTTGCCCAGCAAGAATTGAATTTTTAGAGAATATGCAGGGAGTTTTCTGAGATGAAATGTCATTAAGGGATATTGCTCTGCAAGAGCAAATGACTGGTGGTTTTTTTTTTTGGGGGGGGGGGTCCGGTAGTGGGGCCTGAACTCTGGGTGCTGTCCCTCAGCTTTTCAGCTCAAGACTAGCGCTCTACCACTTGAGTCACAGTGCCACTTCCGGCTTTTTTCTTTTTGCTTATGTGATGCATCGAGGAATTGAACCCAGGGCCTCAGGCATGCAAGGCAAGTGCTCTACCACTGAGCCACCTTCCCAGCCCTCACTGGTGGTTTAGTAGTGTACACACTACCTTTGCTCTTAAATACTGATAGGTAGGAAGTGGTGCTGTGCCTCAAGTGGCAAAGCACTAGCCTTGAGCTGAAGAGCTAAGGGACAGCGCTAAGGCCCAAAGTTCAAGCTCCACAACTGACCAAAAAAAACCCCAAAAAACTGATAGGTAATAATAATCTAAATGAATGTGTTCACGTTTGAGCTCTTTATAGACCAAGGAAAATGAGTAACTTCTAATCATTTGCCTTCTAAGGGCTGTTTTGGCATTAAAAAATTGAAAGAGCAGTTTTCTTTTTTTTCTTTAAATGTAGAAATACAAACTTTGTAGCGAGAATCTTGTTCTTGGGAATGGGTCTTGGAACATAATAGCAAAAAACAGCACTGTAAGGCTGATAATATACTCTATCCTTTCTCCCTACAGCTTTGGCAACAAGAGTAACAAGCTAAGGTAACAACAAAAGCATGATCCAATCTTGTATAACACTTTTAAATTTCATCAAAATGATTTAAAAGACTTTGGAGCCTGAGTGTCATTTGCTCATGTCTATAATCCCAGCTACTCAGGAGGCTGAGATCCAAAGCTCTCAGTTCAAAGCCAGCTAGGGCCGGAAATCTTTGAGACTGCCATCTCCAATAAACCACCAAAATAAGCCAGAAGTAGAGCTGTGGCTCAAAGCATTAAGAGTACTGGCCTTGAGCACAAAAATCTCAGCAACAGTACCCAGACCCTGAGTTCAAGCCCCAAGACTGGCATATGTGCATGCACGTACACACACACACGTACACACACTTACTTACACACACACACACACACGACTTTGGAGCAGGGTCCTGGAAAAGTGAAGAGAGTACCTTCATCCCAAAGCGAGTGTCTGGTTTATCAGTTCCATAGCTGCTTAATGCCTCAGCAAAAGTCATAGAAGGAAAAGGAGTCACTACAGGATCTTTATCACTGGGCCAGGAATAGTGGAGCAAACCCTCAATCAAACTCTGGACCCCCATCTGGTCTACAAAAGACATCTCTATGTCAATCTGAAACCAAAATAACACAAGGAAAGCAACTTGAATAGTCAAAATATGCATATTTTCAGCTTTCACGATATCAGTCTTTGCCTATAAATACTTAATACATGGAAAGGATATACATTTTATTACACACCTGTTTTATGTCAAGAACTGTGCTAATGCCTACAATTACTTCGTGACATATCTGTACTCAGCAAGTAGTAAAGTTAGGGTTGATCCCTGGGCTGTCCAACTCCAAATACAATATTTATAAATACAATATTTATTCATTTTATCTTATTTTTGCCAGTACTGGGGCATCAAGTTAGGGCCTGGGTGCTGTCCTTTAGCTTTTTTGCTCAAAGATGATGCTCTACCACTTGAACCACAGTTCCACTTCCAGCTTTTCTGGTGGTTAACTGGATATAACAGTCTCACAAACTTTCCTGCTGGGGCTGGCTTTGCACTGCCATCCTGAGATATCGGCCTTTTGAGTAGATAAGATTACAGGCGCCTGGGCTGGTGGCTCACGCCTGTAATCCTAGCTACTCAGGAGGCTGAGATCTGAGAATCGAGGTTCAAAGCCAGCCCAGGCAGGAAAGACCATGAGACTCCTATCTCCAATAAAACCACTAGAAAACCGGAAGTGGTGCTGTAGCTCAAGTGGTAGAGCGCTCGCCTTGAGCTGAAGAGCTGAGGGACAGCGCCCAGGCCCAGAGTTCAAGCCCCATGATCAACAACAACAACAAAAAAAAGATTACAGGCATGAGCCACTAGCATCTGACTTAATTTATAAATAATTGTAAAAAGGGGATTTCAATTCAACATGTCAGTTTATGAGAACAATGCATTTTGCTATCATGTCTTTCATCATTCTTCTCCTACACCTATCCTAACCCCTGCCATTTCCCGCTAGCTCTATTTCTAGATATCCAACTCCAATTATTTCATCACACTTAATCACAATGTCCACAGAAATATCAATATACAAAATTATCGTTCTGCTTTTCTTTCTTGTTAAAAATAACACATTTTTTAATAGTATTGGGATATTCTTTTTTGTTTTTGTCGATCATGGGGCCTGAACTCTGGGCCTGGACGCTGTCCCTCAGCTCTTCAGCTCAAGGCTAGCACTCTACTACTTGAGCCACAGCGCCACTTCCGGCTTTTTATACTTATGTGGTGCTGATGAATCGAACCCAGGGCCTCATGCATGCAAGGCAAGCACTCTACCACTGAGCCACCTTCCCACCCCCAGAATATTGATTCTTTTTTTTTTATTGTGTTCTTAATGTACAAAAGACCATATCGTATTAAAACATTAAAGACTTCTGGAATTTCTCTGTTGATCACTACTTTCCTTATGAGAAGGGCACAGGAAAACAACTAAAAATTAAATGAGAGTCCATTAATTAAATATCTGATTGGTAAATATGATGACATGTATATAATAAAATGTAATATGATTTCCTTGGACTTGAAATAAAATACTTGGCTCTAGTATATTTGAATTTGTAAGGGAGAGTAACGACTGCTCAGTACCTGAGTAAATTCAGGCTGTCTGTCTGGTTTTGAGCCTTCATCTCGGTAACATCGAGCAACTTGAAAATATCTGCAATTGAAAAAAATAGCATTAACTAAATCATGAGACTAAGATGACACAATTTTCTCCTTAAAGTCGATGGCAATGCAAGTGATGGAATAAATTCATAGTGATACCAAAAAATGTAAGAAGCTAGTTTTCATCTGATCAGACACAGGGCTGACCTGAGAAGTTACTCTTTTTTATATACTGTTTTCAAAATAGACTCTGACACATTTGGATATTCATACATGAGATTAGTGTGCAAGCCAATCAATGCTTCTTTTCATATACATTTATTTTTCAGTACTAGAGATTGAACTCAGGGGCTCACACATGCTAGGCAGGTGCTCTACCACTTGAATCATTCTTCCACTCCTATACATAACCAAATTGAAATGCTGCTGCTTTATGAGATGAGTACACTTGAACCTTCCCTTGTTACGCCATTCCAACTTATCTCCACCTGCTGCAATGCAGCCCTCACTCTGAAGGGCTAGCTCACAATTCTTCCTCTGTTTTCCTGGAGAATGCAATTGCAATTCATATCTTGAGTTATTTTGCTTTACTCACTCTCCTACTCTGTTTTGCTAGCTTCATTAACTCCTTGAAAACAAAACTCCCTTTTTTAAAAAAAAATCCTTTGCTACATTTACTAGCAAAAAGTTTTCATCCTCTTGCATAATAAACATTATCTTGAAAAGGTCATCATTTTTGGTGGTACTGGAGTTTGAACTAAAGGCCCCATGCTTGCTAGGCAGTATCTCTCCCGCTAAGCCACGCCTCCAATCTTCCCTCTCAAAATAAACTTTAAAGGATGATTACTACCAATTTTCAAGGTACAAGTGTTTTCTGAATTCGTGTAAATTTTCTAAGCTTCTCTTTCGATCAGACAATGGGTTTTCTTCATCCCTCCCTTCTTCTCCTTTTATGACAACTAACAGCATTAAAAACAAAACAAAACCTCACCTGTCTAAACCACCAACCATCAGAAGCTGCTTAAATTGTTGAGGACTCTGAGGGAGAGAATAAAACTTTCCAGGCTCCCTGGATGGTACTAAAAACTCCTTGGCACCCTTTTAAAGAAAAAGAGAGAGGAGAGAAATGACTAACAACAAAAATTAGGCCAGCTGAAGGTATACTTCAGCTCATCAACAAAATCAGCAAAGAAATTAATTTCTTGAAGGAAATAAGAGCAGAGTTCTCACAATGATAGAGATAATTTCTCATTTACCTTTTAGTCCCTTGTTCATATATAATACAATTTATTTTTCTTAATTGTACATTAGGATTTTTTTTGGCCAGTCGTGGAGCTTGAACTCAGAGCCTGAGCACTGTCCTTTTCTTTTTGCTTAAGGCTAACACCCTACTACTTGAGCCACAGCTCCACTTTTGGCTTTTTGGTGGTTAATTGGTAATTAGAGATGAGAGTCTCACTAACTTTCCTGGCTAGGCTAGTTTTGAACATGATCCTCAGATCTCAGCTTTCTGAATAGCTATACTTGAATGAGCCACTATCACCTGGCATCAACAAGAGTTTTTTTAGGTTGTTGTTTTTGTTTTTTTGCTGGCTGCAGGGCTTGAAGTTAGGGACTGGGGGGTGCTGTCTTTGAGCTCTTTTTCCTCGAAGCTCCTGTTCTACCACTTTGAGCCACAGCATTACTTCCAGTTTTCTGGTGGTTAATTGGAGATAAGCATCTCACAGACTGTCCTGCCTGTCTGAGCTGGCTTTGAACTGTAATTCTTAGATCTCAGCCTCCTGAGTAGCTAGGATTATAGGCAGGACACATTAGTGCTTGGCCAAAGAGAGTTTTAAGTAATCAATTCATTATGATTTGCAACTACAGACCCCAAGGGAAAGAAAATTCATTAGGAATAAAAGCTTCTGATTTAAAATACTGATCTACATAATTTTTTCCAATTCTTAAAAAAAACACAAACATTACAATGTTTAGGCAATAAGTAACACCAAATAAATAAAGCAAATATAAAATCAGTTTTATGAATAAGAAGACATTATTAGTAAAATTATTTAAAGAACATACATACCCCTGGGGTCCTCTTAAACAATGTTGGGGTTTCTATATCTACAAACCCTATAAAGAGAGCAGAACAGAATTTAATACATAGGAACTGGTCAAATAGTGTCTATAGTACACAAATGAGAGGCTTTTTTTTAACTAGGAATTTGGGCTGCTGCTTGCTGATGCTGATTTTTACAGATCCACGAAAGCTGAAGTTTTGCATAAAACCCAATTTTGTTCATAAAGATGATAGTTCTGACATGAAAAAGTCCTAAATATTTGATGATTTCTTCTCTACTGAAGTGTTCCGGTGTTCCAAATGTTCTGCTAATTACAGATACAAATAGAGCAGGAAAAAAACCCAAGTGTGTTGTTTAATTCACAGGAAACTTCAGAACTCCTTATAAATGATGTAGAAACATGATAGAGAATTAAGAAAACTTGGCTGGACAGTTTGATACACACACACTTATAAACCCAGCTGAGATAAGAGGATCAAGATTTTAAGGAAGCCTATCACACTAATTTCTGTAATGTAATGTGGCCTCCATGTAGTTTTAAGTTACAGATGCTCATATCTACTGTGTGCAGTATGGGCAAATCTGAGAAATTTGAGAGCTGAGCTCTATGTGTTCTGACCACCTGCAGTTTTTCTTTAGTGATAATGATCTTTATACCTGTGCATATCAAGAGTCTATTTAGTTCCTGAATCATGCTCTAGGACAAAACACTTGGAAATTAACCTTCAAAACCAACTTTATACACTGAGAAACTTCCAGACTTCTGGGAACATCTGGACTAAGGGTTAGGAGAATATAAAATAAAGCTGGTGAGCCAGGCGCCAGTGGCTCATGCCTGTAATCCTAGCTACCCAGAAGGCTGAGATCTGAGGATCACAGTTCAAAGCCAGCATGGGAAAGTCCACGAGACACTTACTTATCTCCAATAAATCACTAGAAAACCAGAAGTGGTGCTGTGGCTCAAGTGGTAGAGCACTAGCCTTGAGCTAAAGAGCTGAGGGACAGCACTCAGGCTCAGAGTTCAAGCCCCATGACCAACCAAAATAAATAGATAAATAAATAAAGCTGGTGAATAAATCATGAGATGTTAAAATAAAAGGATATTCCATTTTTCCTTACCATGCAGATTACAGAGATACTCCCGCATTTTCATAACCACCTCAGACCTCAATCTCAGATTGTACTGCATTTGGGAGCTGCGCAAATCCAAGTACCGATACTGCAAGCGAAGAGCCTCTGTTTTCTAAACAAATCAAAAGATTTTTGAATGTTCAAAAAGTATTGTCTTTAAATATTTTGAATTTTAGAAAACTCTAGCTCCATCTTAAATTTTAGCATCAAATAGCCTATCGACATGCTAGTCCCCGTTTGTTTAAACACTGCCATCCTTAATTCCTATACATTTTTTTGGAGAGGTAGGCAGCAGTGCTGGGGTTTAAACCCAGAGTCTAGTACCATGAGCTACATTCCTAGCCCTCAATTCTTATTTAGTCTCTAAGTTGGTTATCATACAGATTTGACATATTGTTTTGCTATTCATTATTATTAACATCACTCCTTCCTGTTTAAAATTTGCTTATTTTATTAAACACTTATCCATTCATGTAAGCCCATAATTGACTGAAAAAAAATTAAAGATTTCAGGTTGGGTGAAGGTGACTCATTCCTATAATCCTAGATATTCAGGAGGCTGAGATCAGGGGATGGTGATTCAAAGCCAGCCCAGGAAAGAAAATAGGTGAGATTCTTATTTTTAAAAAGCCAAAATGGAGCTGTGGCTCAAGTGATAGGGTACTAGCCTTGAGCACAAGGCTCAGAGATAGCACCCATGCCCTGAGTTCAAGCCCCAGGACAAGCAAAAAAGTCAAGATTTCAAAGATAGTTTAAGAAAATACACCTTAGTAAGAGATAGCTATAGTTTTATCACCTGAATGAGATATTCACCACAAGTGCAGGCAATGCCAGAGATGGCAGATGGAATCTCTACTGTTATACTACTAGGAATATAGTGTGTCTTATTATTTTTAAGGCTGCAAATCATAGCATCCGCTTTGTGTTGGGAACTTAGGGGGAAAAAAAACCCACTCTTCCCTGGAATGCCTTATTTCTTTGTTATTAAAAACAAAATAAGTAAGAAATACCTTCTTTTCTTTCTGAATGCTTATCTTGGGAAAACTACACATTTTTCTTTCAATAGTACGGTCAATTCTATAATTACATTGCTTTTTGTAAGTACTTCCTTCCAAAATGTTAGATAATAGCAACAAAAAATAACACAACCTGTCAAGTCTTAAGACAGAATCACATTTCAACTTGTTGAAAAAATATGGTAGTGGTTGATGGAGTCTTTTTTTGAAGTGGGAGGGAGTATGTGGGCTTAGCTTCAGGACTTCATGTTCTTGCTCAGCTTTCTTGCTTCGTTGCTAGCATTCTACCACTTGAGCCAAGCCTATAGTGTGGCATTTTGCTGATTAATTGGAGATGTCTTGTAGACTTATCTGCCTGGACTGATTGTGAACTATGATCCTCAAGGACTGTTTCCTGAGTAGTTAAGATTACAGGCATGAGCCACCATCTGACTTGTATACGTACTCTTATTTACTTAATAAATTGTCGTTATTTTGGAAGAATTCATCAAGAAATCGTAGATGGAAATGGATTCATTACCTTACTCATGTAACTGTAACCCCTCTGTACAGTATCTTTAGCATAAAAATATATATTATAAAAAAAGAAATTGTAGAATAGAACAATTCATGATACATCTACAACAAAATGTTTAATTTTATAGAAGTTAAACTTTGTCTTTAAGGAATTCTGAAAATACTGTCGTTATCATTTTCTAGGCAATAAGAGGGCACCTTCACAAAGTCTTTCATTTCAAAGGGCAGCTTCTTGCAGGCATTCAGAAGTTCGGCTGTTTTAACTTTTATTTCAATCTCACCAGTTGGCATTGTCTTAGAGAAAAACAGAAAAGACCCATTTTAGAAATCACTTTCAGGACCCATAAGCAATGCACATTGTAAAATACATGCCATTTATTTACATATGTAAAGTGTATAGATGCTACATGTGTAGTATGGTATAAAAATTGTGACTATTGCTGGGTGCTGGTGGCTCACGCCTGTTATCCTAGCTACTCAGGAGGCTGAGATCTGAGGATCACGAGATTCAAAGCCAGCCTGGGCAGGAAAGTCTGTGAGACTCTTTATCTCCAATTAACCACTTAGAAATTCAGAAGTAGTGCTGTGGCTCAAGGCGTAAGCACTCACTTGCCTTGAGCTGAAGAGCTCAGAGACAACACCCAGGCCGAGAGTTCAAGCCCTATGACCACCAACAACAAAACTGTGAATGTTTTTTGATATTTTTGACATAAAGCATAAATGTCATGAGAAATCAGCCAGATACATCATGCATTTGTCAACATCAAATGTCTTAGCATGCACGTTACACATCGGTATGTTTATAATACAGATTTTAAGTTCATTTGTAGACTTACTCAGCTTTATAGCCCAGTGTCCAAAAGGTGCTCAATCTATGTTGTCTGAATATGTGCACAGACATTACAAATGCATACAAATAAAAATTTATACAAGGCTGGGTGCCGGTGGCTCACGCATGTAATCCTAGCTACTCAGGAGGCTGAGATCTTAGGATCGAGGTTCAAAACCAGCCTGGGCAAAAAACTCCATGAGACTCATCTCCAATAATCCACTCAGAAAACTGGAAGTGGCGATGTGTCTCAAGTGGTAGAGCACTAGCTTTGAACTGAAGAGCTGAGGGACAGTGCCCAGGTCTAGAATTCAAGTCCCATAACTGACAAAGGAAAAAAAAAATACAATATGTAAACAACTAACTGGATTCTCTTGTCCTGGAGGTCGAGAAATGACAGTCCCAGACACTTTCACCACGGATTCCAAAGGGGCTTCACATAAAATCTTCTTCACAGAGGCAGATGACTACAGAATAAGGAAAATGGTTTCAAGAATCAAATGAACTTTTACAGTAGGATCTCTCAGTAACTCAAAATCTATGATTTAGAAAGACATTAATAGTTACAGCTTATTTGCCATAATATTGGGGCTCAGTTATTCTTTTTAACAGAACCTGGTAATTCTACCCCCTCTCCCATTTTGACAACATATAATATGGCAAGGGAAGCTATCAATTAGGAGTCTTCTTTCTTCTCTCCTTCCTATTCTTTCTTTCTGAGACACAGTCTTGTTATGTAGTCCAGACTGGCCTCAAACTCATGATCTCCTGCTTTACTTTCCTGAGCACTAGGATTATAGATGTGCACTCAACACACCCAGTTTCAGTTAAGAATTTAAAAGACCTTCCTTAAAAGAATATGAGGGTCAGGCGCTGGTGGCTCATGCCTGTAATCCTAGCTACTCAGGAGGCTGAGATCTAAGCATCACGGTTCAAAGCCAGCCTGGGTAGGAAAGCCCGTGAGACTCTTATCTTCAATTAACCACCAGAAAACCAGATGTGGCGCTGTGGCTCAAGTGGTAGAGTGCTTGCCTTGAGCTGAAGAGCTCAGGGACAGTGTCTAGGCCCAGAGTTCAAGCCCCAAGACCAACAATAACAACAACAACAAAAAGGAAAAGAAAAGGAGAGGAAATTGCCTTACTTGCAATAATTACTATATATATATATATATATATATATGCCTATATATATGCCTATATATATATATAAATATATATATATATATGTGTCTAATATAATCTTATCAGATGACCATAAATGATGATGCCAAGCTAAATTAACCCCAAGATATGGACAGAAGAGATTTTCTTTGTTGTTGTTGTTTTTAATGTACTATGTGATTTTTTTGTTTCTTTTGTATGTTCTTTCTCCAGTGTCACTGTATTTGATTTTAGTACCTTGCATCTTATATACACATTTATCTAATTTGGGGAGGGGGAGGGGAATAACAAAATGCTGAAACAAGGACACAGGATGACCCATTACAACAATGATACTCACAAGACAGTATGTTGGAAATTAACTTTACAACTTTATTTTCCTTCTATCCTTAATTCCTTAATAGTTAGGTATCCTTAATACTTAGGTATCCTTCCAGAGACCTTTTCGTGTGTGTGTGTGTGTGTGTGTGTGTGTGTGTGTGTGTGTGCGTGCGCCAGTCCTGGGCTTGAACTCAGGGCCTTTTTGTTCTTATTCAGCTATGCTGCTCATGATTGTCAGTCTTATCACTTGAGCCATACTTCAAGTTCCTAAAATTGTAACTTGCTATCATCAAATTGCTCTTTATACTGCTAGTAACAATTTGTACTTCTTCCAGGAATAGAGAGCTCCCATTTCCCCAAAATACAGTGTGTTGTCAATCTAATGTGCAAAAAACAAAAAAAATCACATTTCTCTGAGTTTGACCAAATATACTGTGGGTACACACTTTTTGTATTTTCTTTGCTATCATTTCTTTTTAAGAGAGAGGGGTCTTGTTATACAGCCTGGGAAGATTGGCTTGCTACATCCACACCACACTTGGCCACTTTTTTTGTAACTTTTATGTTTATATTGTGGGTTCAATACTCTACTGGCTCTTCACTCATTTTTAGTAGCCTTTTAGATATTAGTAAAATAAGCCCTATGATATGAATTGCACATAATTTTTTTGGTATGTCATGCATGATTTTTTTTAATAGTTTTCAGTTTGTATGAGCACTAAACTTCTACATTTAGAATCTGAAGCTGAGGTGTGATGTGCACTGGGGATGTTGAGGCAGGAGCATCACAAGTTCAAGTCCAGTCTGGGCTATGCAGTGAGTTCTAAACCAGCTTAGGACACATAACAAGATAGCTTCAAAAAACCCTGCAAACCCTTAAACATTCTTATCAAACTGCTGAGCTTACCCTACCCCTATCATCAAGTCAGCTTTTAGATAATGGCAGGAATATTTTTTAAAATTATTTTTAGGTAGTTGCACAAAAGAGTTGCCATAGTAGGAAATTTTTTTATTACCTCATCTTGAGGGATGATAACTTGAACCAGACCGTGGAAATCTCTGAGGACTAGGAAGATGTTCTGCCTGATTAATGAAAAAATGAGTATTTTAGGATTGTTGCTGAGCCCAAAATTTAAGCAGATAAAACCAGTAAGGAAAAACTGTATGCAATTTCTTTCTTAAAAAAAAAAAGACATATTTTTCCATTAGCTACATTCATACATTCTGCATATTTTTTGTGCTGGTATTGGGGCTTGAACTCATGGCCTCAAACTTTTGCTAAGTGTTCTATCATTGAGCCAGGCCTCCAGTTCTGGCTTTTTGCCGGTTGGGTGGAGATAACAGTTCCATGGATCTGTCTGCATGGGCTGGCTTTGAACCTTGATCCTCAGATCAGAGGTAGCCAGAGTAGCCAGGTTTATAGACTTGAGTTACTGGTACCTTTTTCTTTGAGACAGACTATTTTTCCCCAGCTGGCTTTGAACTTGCCACCCTTTTGCCTCAACTTCCCAAGTAGCTGAGACTGGGTCTACAGCATACACATGCCCTACTATACTATGCCTTATCAAATTGCTTTTTATATTTTAATTATCATTGGCCACTTATATAATTTTCTAATCTATTATAGATGCCTTATTAATAAAAGTAGATTTAAAAATTTTAAATGTCACTTAGTTGTCTTTAAAAGAAACATTTATTAAATCTGGAAACTTACAGAGTAAAACCCCCAAAAAATACTTCAAGCTATCAGAAACATCTGATTGTTTCTGAAATTCAACTAGTCTCTTCTTAAAAAAAGGGGGGGGGAGGGCTGGGATGTGGTTTAGTGGTACAGTGCTTGCCTAGCATGCATGAAGCTCTGTATTCATGTATTTCTCATACTGCCTTTACTACGAGAAAGAGGGACAGAAAGCAGGAGACAAAGTCATCTATGTCTGGGCAAATATCTACCCACATGGATATATGCTTTAAGAAGGTCATATAATTCATGTACTTTGTATCTTTTTTTTTTTTTTGTCGGTCCTGAGGCTTGAACTCTGGGCCTGGGCGCTGTCCCTCAGCTCTTCAACTCAAGGCGAGCGCTCTACCACTTGAGCTACAGCGCCACTTCTGGTTTTCTGGTGGTTTATTGGAGATAGGAGTCTCATGGTCTCTCCTGCCCGGGCTGGCTTTGAACCGCGATCCTCAGATCTCAGCCTCCTGAGTAGCTAGGATTACAAGCATGAGCCACCAGCGCCCGGCCTGTACTTTGTATCTTTTCAATATGAATTAATGTATTACTCAGATTTTATCTAGAATACAGAGCAATGCATAACAGTGCACAGTCCAAAAATAAACTGTGCTCTTAAGGCAACACTGTTCATTGTTTAGGATTTACCCTTCCTGAATTTATACTGAAATAGCTCTTTTGGAACTTCCCAACCAGCTTATAAGATGTTGGGTGGCTTTTGTTTTTTTCTTGCTGTTTTTATGGTACTAGGATTGTCATAAGAATTGTTCGAAGTTAACCCAAGGTCATTTTAGTCCACTGATGGATCAAGAAACATTACTATACAACTTAGTAGATATTACTAGTACTTACTGAGCATTATATTATTTGGCTCTTTCTAAACAAAAACAGAGCTTAAAAACTCAGTGACTATTGAGAGTCTTGCAGGAGTTGAAAAGCTTTCTATTCTTCTGACTGTTTAAAAATTAGTAAAGGCTTGGAAATGCTTTGGGAAATGACCACTGTGAATCCTTAAACTGCATGCCTCAATTTACCTTCGGTACTGAATCCATCCACATAAGGTGACTTCTTGACCTAAGTGAGAAGAACGCAACTCTCCACAAGTGTTGGTCCGGGAAACAAAGCTATTGAATTCTTAAGAAAAAAAAGCAGAAAAAGTTTAAGATGCAAGATTTAAAAATATATTACCTGAAGATTGTGCAAAAATAGATTCTCAAATTACTATAGCTTGGGCATTTCAGGTCAAAGGATGCTACACAGTAAGACAGACCATGCAATACAATGTCTTTCACTCTTAAGGATTTTGGAATGATGGTGGAGTAAACTGCTCAGTATTAGTACAAATCCAGTGTATAATCACTTGGACACTAAAAATCCAGTAAGTGTGAAACGATGTTTTAGGCTATTAGTGGCATCAACTAAATGGGGACTATCTTTTCTATGTGGCTATCTTCTTTTGTTTTTTAATTCAGGGGGAATAAAAAGCCCTGCATTATAAGGAATTTAGAGTGAATGAGGAGGAAAAACTGGGAGAGCGAAAGGAGGGGTGACATTGTCTAAAAAGAAATGTGCTTTTGTGGTTGTTCTTTTAGTGGGTCATGGGGCCTGAACTTGGGGCCTGGCCTCTGTCCCTGAGCTCTTCTCCTCAAAGCTGGCGCTCGACTACACTGAGTCACAGCGCCACCTCCGGTTTTCTGGTGGAGAGTTGGAGAGGAGCCTCTGGGAGCCAGTCCCGGCTGGCTTTGAACTGCGATCTTCCGTCCTCAGCCTCCTGAGTAGCTAGGAATGACAGGCTGGCTTTGAACTGCGATCTTCCGACCTCAGCCTCCTGAGTAGTTAGGACTGACAGGCTGGCTTTGAACTGTGATCTTCCGACCTCAGCCTCCTGAGTAGCTAGGACTGACAGGCGTGAGCCACCAGCTCACTCGCCACTGTTTTCCCAACATGGTTACCTCTCTGTACATCACCTTTACAATAGCTACGCTTGTTCCTAAAGAGCGAATGGTGTGTTACACATTAGGGCACGCAGTGTAGGCCGGGGACGCTGTGGAGGTCTTGGCTGTTTTCACCTGGAATTCTCCTGCGGGAGCTCAGCACCAGCCTTCTGGACAGAGCCCCGCGGACGAGCTGGGGGGTCCGTCCGACGGGCCTGCGCAGACCCCGGCACAGCGGACCTAACCAGGCGCCGAGGTGCATGTTGCGTCCCGAGTCGCGAGAGGCGAGGCCCGCGCTCCCGCGGCGGGGCCGCGCGGTGGCCACGCCTCAGCTCGCCCAAGCTCCGGACATTCGAGTTCGCGCCCCGCGAGCAGAAGGTGAAGACAGCAACTGCAAAGGGCAGCTCCGGGCGCGACCCCACGACCACGCCACAGGGCGCGGGGCCGCTGCCCGCGCGCGCGCCCGGCCTCCGCCCCACGCGGGAAGTCCCCCAAGGTTCACGCCGGCACGACCGGGAAACGAGGAGGAACGGCCGCGCTTCCGAGTCTTCCGAGCCGGGCGCCCGAACTCAGGTTCTGGAAGACGAAGAGGAGCAAATCGAAAACACGCTCGACCCCGAACCTCCACGCACGCACGCACGCACACACGCACGCACACAGACACACACGCGCGGCACAGGGAATTCAGGCGTTCCTCTTACCGCCCCGCCAGCGCCCAAGATGACAGTAAATGCATTCGCCCAATCAGAGCGAAGATGCCGCCGCCATGCTTACGACGGGCGGAAAGTTGAGGGAAAGCTTCGCACCGGTTAAAAGCGGAGAGAGCGACGCCTCGCGGTTGGGAGTGTTGGCGCGAACGAAGGGCTCGGCCTTGCCCTCAGTTACAATGGCAACCGCAGTTGCTTCACCGGCAGGCAAGGGGAGGGCGGGGACTGAGAGCTGACTTCCGGTTTGGGGCCGCCGAGCCAGTCGGGAGATGATTTTAAACTGAGGTGGGCGCTAAGGCGTTGGTTGAACGGGCGTCTGGCGGGGCTGATTTCACCAGGGTCCCTGGGGGCCGCAGGCTCGGTGGAGGGAGGGCGACTTGTGCTTTCCTTTCCTCTTGGTGAGCAGAAGAACCATTTTTGAGGAGCCGTTAGGTGAGCGGGAAGGCCCGCCCGGCGCGCGGGCGTGGCGCGGGGCCGGCGAGCCGCGGCCTCCGCGCTGGCGGGTGCGGGTGTCCGGCCGGGCGGGCGCGCGGGAACACTCCAGCTTCTCTCACCGCGGTCATTGGGGCGACTTTTTTCTTTTCTTTTTATTTAACGCAGGGAGCGTGGGTCTCGATGTCGTCTTGGAGCCGACCTGAAGAGAATGAGTCGTGGACCTAGAATGGGCCACCGCGTCGTCCCGGCCCTCGGTTGGTGAGATGCTCTGCGTCGCTTCCGGCCTGGCCCGGCCCTGGCGCGCCGAGCATGCGCAAGCGCGGCTGAGCGCTGGCACTGGGCACCCGGGTGTAGGTATTGGCAATCAGAGTGAAGCGATCACTTTCCTCACGGACTCACCACGGGAGAGAAACAGCGGGGTCTGAATTGTGTGCAATGAACTGTTACTGCAAGAGGAGTTCCCGAGGGGAGCGAGGGGAAGGGAATTTTGTCTCGTTCTTATCTGTCAGCCGGGAACGTTGTAACCAACCCTAAGGAAGTTGTTTGAGGATTAAATGAGACAATAATTACTAAGGGCTTAGAAAAGCATCTGGAACATGATGAATGCTTAACAGGTTTCGTCCCAAGTAACAGACTTGGAAGGAACATTCTGTGCAAATGAAACAGATTAATATATCCTTTTAAATAGGTAATTAAATGTGTCTTTAAAGGCTTATGCTTTAGTGTAAATGCTACTTTAGTTTGCTTGTTTACTTATTTATTGACAGAGTTCATGATCCTCCTGTTTCACCTTCCCCGATGCTGGGGTTACAGGCCCAGTGGTTGTTATTTATTTACTTACTTAAAAAAATTCTTATTGTGATTGTGATTACATAATTTCCCAAATTTCACAGTATTGTGGGATAGTGATACTTAAAGTCACAAACACATTTTAACTTTCATGGGGCAAATTATCGAGGTCTATAACATTTATGAGTTTTGTGAGCTTTGACCATACAGTTATTTCTTCCACATTGGGTGATATGTACATTTTTTAAACTGTAATTTTTTGTCTTTTCTTTCTTTTTTTTGCACTTGCTGCTACATCCCAGCTGGACACATATACATTTCTTTTGTTTTGCATAGCATCAGCTGTTCCCTCTTTCCCACTCATTCCCTCCCTCCCATCGTTGCCATTGAGTTGCTTCATTCATTTTGATCAATGTCCAGTGCTGCTGATGGGTCCCACTGTTGTATGTTTTTTCCTGATTCCCTCTAGTTCTGTGTCCTCCTCCTGGTTTCCGTCCAGTGTGCACATGTATACCATATATGTGATTAGCAGCATGGGGTTATTTAGTAGTGATTCGACCAGATGAGTGGAAGTCCTTTTTCTCTTAAGCCTTGTTAATTTTGTCGTATCACCTTATGTTTTGGGTTTAACATCCAGTGGTTAATTAAATCATGTAGTAACTCAGTAGTGAGGAGAGTGGGAGGATTTGGTAATAGCAGGAGGATGTGACTCTGGTGTTAGTTGGAATTTATTAGGAATTTCTTTTTTCTCTCTCAGAATTGAGTTTTAAAAGGGAGAGTTTACACCAAGGGACCATTGCTCTTTTGAACAAAAGGAAAAGGTTAGAAGGAGTCAAAATCATAAAAAGAATAGGACTCTTTTTACCAAACACAAAGACTGCTCTGATGAGACATTCCAGGATATTTTAAGCCCACCAAAATTACAGCAAGGATAAGACTCAAAAGAGGTGCAGCTCTTTTGGTGGTAACAGCAACACCAAGCCTGGGTTCAGTGTGACTTCCACTTCTAGCCCAGCCCAGCCTCTCCAGGTCCTCCCCCGCATTCAGGCACTCAGAAGTACCAGAATACCCCCACAACTCCAGCTCTAGCCACTCCTCCAGCTTTCTAAGTCACTGCGCTAGACATAACATGAGGTGGTACTTACGTTCTACCTCAAAGCAAGGAAAAGGATAGGAATGCATAGCTGTTAGTCTACACCTACTGAAGTGTGTACTGGGGGGGCTTAATAGAAATGTGACCAGGATCACATCATGGAGATATTTTATACTTGTGAGAAAATTTAAATGTATTGAAAGGATGCATTCGTAGCTATCCAGAGGCTGTACATCTGTGGAGTTTGAAAGTTGCTGAAGTCAGTGGAGAAGGAATTGATGTCAGGGCATTTACTGCTGCACCATGCTGGCACCTTGGCCTAGGTGCCATCTCCAAGCAATTTAGCTCTGCCAAGGAAATACTGCTCACACCTTCCAATGAGCTGTTTGGTAGAAGCCCAATTTTGTTGGACTCATCTAGAGATGAGGTATCATTGTATGCACAAGTCATGGATATAGGTAGAAGTATATAACAGGATAGATTTTTTTTTTTAACTACTGTTTGAATTTGCCCATTAGAAAGGAGGTCTGACTTAATCATGGTCTTGGCAGAAGTATAATGGGAAATAGTCATTTCAGATAGGAAAGCTATTGATAAGCAGAAGCATGAAAATATAAGTATGTTTATGTGGTAGATTGGCGATGAAAATTATGAGTATAAAAAACCTGAATTATGGAATATCTAGCAAGAGAGTTTAGGATTTGTCACTGGAATGGCAAAAGCTTTACAGAGACATCATTTATGTCAAATAGCTAACAATGTAGTACCATTTTTGGAACAATGGTTTACTTTCAGATATGGAAAACTTAATTGTGCTAATGAAAACATTATTAAATCTCAGAATGGATGACAGGCTGTGGAAAGAAAAAAAATTTAGTAGAATGCTTAGACTACATGTTAAAAAATGAAAGTGAGAAACTACATCAATGTATTTAAGGGCTTTTTTTGTTTTTGTTTTTTTTAATGTAGACCATGGAACCTTGTGATTCACCGGAATCAACTCCTAGACAGAATGCCTCCTCAAATCTTAAAGATTACTTTTTAGCTTCCACCCCTTGGCAGAAACGATTGGAATCTGTCAGGAAGCAAACTTCCTTTGTTCAGACCACACCACGTAGGAAAGTTCCTGAGTGTTCACAATTACAGGTATGTTTTATATCCCTAAGTCAATAAATGAGACAATCTGAACAAAGTACTTTAATTTTGTTATATTTATAGTATTTTTTTAACCTTAAATTCAGGGCCTAAACATTGTCCCTGAGTTCTTTTTGCTCAACTAGTGCTCTACCACTTGAGCCACAACTCCTCTTCCAGCTTTTTGGTGGTTAATTGGAGATAAGAATTTTAGGGGCTGGGAAGGTGGCTCAGTGGTAGAGCGTTTGCCTTGCATGCATGAGGCAATGGGTTCAATTCCTCAGCACCACATAAGCAGAAAAAGCCGGAAGTGGCGCTATGGCTCAAGTGGTAGAGTGCTAGCCTTGAGCCGAAGAGCTGAGGGACAGCACCCAGGCCCTGAGTTCAGGCCCCATGACCAGCCAAAAAAAAAAAAGAATAAGTAAAAATTGTTCTTGTTTTAATGAATACACTGTAGCTGACCCACCATCTTGAGCCACAGCACCATTTCTGGCTTTTTCCATTTATGTGATACCAAGGAATTGAACCCAGGACTTCATGCATGCTAGGTAAGCACTCTGCCATCAAGCCACATTCCCAGCCCCCACCATCTTTCTTGAATTAGACAACTACAGTGAAAGTTGCAAGATAGTTGGAGCTGTGAGGTTATGTAAGAAAGTATGCACTCAATTCAGAGGTTAGATCTTTGGCATGTAAAGATCAAAAGTCCCAATAATATATTAAATAATTAAAGTGCTATGATTAAATTTTTTGAATATTAAAAAAATTAAGTGTCCTTTTTTCTTTTATTTTAGGAAACTATTGATCCTCATAAGCTTGCATTCCTCTTGCATAAACAATGGACTTTGTATAGTTTAACCCCGCTGTATAAATTCTCCTATACTAATCTCAAAGAGTATTCTAGACTTCTGAGTGCATTTGTTGCTGCTGAAAAGCAAAAAGGACTTGCTGTGGAAGTGGGAGAAGATTTCAACATCAAAGTGATTTTCTCTACTCTCCTAGGAATTAAAGGAACACCAAGGGACTCGGAAGCATTTCTTGTCCAGGTATATATTATATATCAATACTTGCTTCCTGGAGGAAAAGAATTTTCATTTTCTTGATTTGGAATGGAAATTACGCTATTTTCTTTTCTTTTCTTTTTTTTGGTACTGGGGATTGAACCCAGGATGTTGCACTTGCTAGGCAAGCATTTTGTCACTAAGCTACATCCCAGCCCAATTATGGCTGTTTTCTTACTGCATTTTAAAATTCTAAACTTGTGACTTTTAAACTATGTATATGTATTTTTTGCTTTTTTGGCCAAATTATAATAATAAGTATTGTCAACTTGAGAAGAATTTTGTGTATATGTGTGTGAAGTCATGTTGACTTTTAAAAATATATGAAAGTGGGGCTGTGGCTCAAGTGGTAAAGTACTCTGGAGGCTGAGATCTGAGGATCCCAGTTCAGAGCTAGCCTGGGCAGGAAAGTCCATGAGACTCTTATCTCAGTTAAACACCAGAAAACTGGAAGTGGTGCAGTGGCTCAAGTGATAGAGTGCTTGACTTGAGCTGAACTGCTGAGGGACAGCGTCCAGGAGGAGTTCAAGCCCCACAACTGACAAAAACCAAAAACTTTTATCAGGATAATTTAAGCTTGTTGGATCTAGTGACTTTCATATTCTTTTCTAAGTTGAGATTTTTTTTCCCCCTTTGAGGTACTGCCCTTGATTATACCTGTAGGCATCTCTTATTTTGCATTTGGGCTGCACAAAGATCTTACCATATACCATTTCTAATATTGGGCTAAAAATCAATTATTTTGTTAACTTTAATAGTGATAAAGGAAATTAGTACCTTTTTGTTCTTTTTAGGAAATAATATGTCAGATCTTATCTTTAATTTACAAATTTATATTTAGAATGCATCATTTAGAAATAAACACTCTTGAACTTAACCTGTTTTACTTTCCATTGTAGATTCTTTCGAAATCTCAATTGCCATCTAAGAACAGAGAAGATAAAGTGTTGTGGACTGGTTGGTTCTGCTGTATATTTGGAGATAGTTTTCTGGAGACTGTTTCAGAAGATTTTACCTGTCTACCCTTATTCCTTGCAAATGGATCAGAGTCTAATACAGCCATAATTGGAACTTGGTTTCAGAAAACCTTTGACTGTTACTTCAGTCGTTTAGCAATCAATGCATTTAATCTTTCATGGATGGCTGCTATGTGGACTGCATGCAAAATGGACCATTACATGGCTACTACTGAGTTTCTTTGGTCTGTACCGTGTAGCCCTCAAAGTCTGGACATTTCTTATGCAGTACATCCAGAGGATGCAAAAGCTTTGTGGGACAGTGTCCACAAGACACCTGGGGAGGTTACTCAGGAGGAAGTTGACTTGTTTATGGACTGCCTTTGTTCACACTTCCATAGGCATTTTAAAATTCATTTATCAGCCACAAGATTGGTTCGTGTTTCAACATCTGTAGCTTCAGCACATACTGATGGAAAAATAAAGGTTAGTTTGGGTTTTTCCTTATTGTTGCTAGGTTTTAAAAATTTATGGTGAGCCGGGCACCAGTGGCTCATGCCTATAATCCTAGCTACTCAGGAGGCTGAGATCTGAGGATCGCAGTTAAAAGCCAGCCCGGGCAGGAAACCAGAAAACCGGAAGTGGTACTGTGGCTTAGTGGTAGAGTGCTTGCCTTGAGCTGAAGAGCCGAGGGACAGCTCCCAGGCCCATAGTTTAAGCCCCACAACAGACAAATTTTTTTTTTTTTAAATTATGGTTATGTTTTTCACATTGAAGAAACATTTGAATGTAGGCTAGTTCAAGATAGTAGAAACATTTTATTTATACTTTTTATGAATGAATTACAGTCTCCAGCCATCTAGATGCAGCTTACTGATGGAAGGAGACTTACAATGTGTTTTACGTATACATAGGTGATAATATGAATTGCTCTGTGATAACATGGAGACTGTGAGCATTGTTTCTTGTCCAGTTTTGAAATAAGGAAGTAACAGGCTGGGAGCCTATGGCTTTGCCTGATATCTCAGCTATTCAGAGGCTGAGATGTGAGGACTGGTGTTGAAGCCAGGCTTGGCAGAAAAGTCTGTGAGACTCCTGTCTCCAACTAACCACCAAAAAGATGGAAGTGGACATGCGGCTCAAAGTGGTAGAGTATCAGTTTTGAGCAAAAGAGCCAAGGGGCAGTGCCCAGATCCTGAATTGAAGCCCCCCAAAAAGAAAATAAAGGAGGAATTTATGTGTGAGTTAAGAAATTATAGTCAGAAGCACAGAATAAAGTGTTAACTTTTCTTTATTTTTATTTTTTTTAATATTTATTTTTTATTGTGAAAATACTGTACAGAGGGGTTACAATTACATGAGCAAGATAATGAGTACATTTCTTATCAAGCATTGTAGCCTCCTCCTTTGTTTCTCCTTCCCATCCCTTCCCATCCTCCCCCTTCCCCAAGTGTTAACTTTTCTATCATTGGGAACAAAAGGAGACATTGTTTTACTCTATGAAGTGATAATCACAAAAAGTATCAGATATAGGGCCGGGAATGTCTTAGTGGTAGAGTGCTTGCCTAGCATGCATGAAGCCCTGGTTTAATTCCTTAGTACCACATAAACAGAAAAAGCTGGAAGTGGTGCTGTGGCTTAAGTGATAGAGTGCTAGCCTTGAGCAAAAGCTCAGAGACAGTGCCCAGGACCTGAATTCAAGCCCCAAGACTGGCCCCCCAAATAAAAAATCAGAAATAAACAAGAGTTGACTCCTATAATATATTTATTTGTATTTTTTCCTCTTAGAATATAATTTTAAAAAAAGGAATATAATTATATAGCTTCACTATACAGCTAGTTAATGTTTCCCGTGGTCTTTTTTTCTGTGTTAGGAGACGTAACTTTTTTAATTTAAAAAATTTGCACATTAGCCAGGTGCAGGTGGTTCATGTCTGTAATCTTAGCCACTCAGGAGGCTGAGATCTGAGGATCATGATTCAAAGCCGATCATGATTCAAAGCCAGCCCGGGCAGGAAAGTCCGTGAGATTCTTATCTCCAGTTAACCACCAGAAAAACTGGAAGTGGTGCTGTGGCTCAAGTGGTAGAGTTCTCGCCTTGAGCTGAAGAGCTCAGGGACAGCGCCCAGGTCAGAGTTCAAGCCCCATGATGGACCAAAAAAAAAAAAAAATTTGCACATTTGTTTTTGCCATGTTAGGCAGCTACTCTGTCAATAAGCAATACCTTCACTTCTATTTATACTTATTTCTGGGGTACTGTATAATAATTTGATAAATCCATACAATGTATAATGATCAAATCATGGCAATTAGCATATCTATTCAAGTATTTAGTCTTTCTTTATATTGGAATGTTTAGACTTTTTAAATTACTTTGAAATGGTAAATAAACTGTAGAATGTAGTTACCTCACTGTGCTATAGAACATTAGAACTAATTTATTCTTTCTGGCTGTATTTTGATACCCATTTCCTAAGCTTTCTCTATCCCTTCTATTCCATATCTTTCCTAGCTGCTAGTGATCACAATTTTCTGTGAGATCAACTTTTTTGGCTTTACAAATTAATGAGAACATGCAGTATTTGTCTCTCTGTACTTAGTAGATTTTAATTCTAATCTTTAGAGCAACCCTGTAATTAGGTGTTTTTAATCCACATTTTATTTTAAAATAGTTAAACTGAGGCCTACACAAGTTTTAATTAAGTGACATATGCAAGATAGGCTGGTGAGAAGAGTCAAGATTTCAGCTCTCATACTGTGGGCTGGTAGCTCATTCTTATGATTCTAGCTACTCAGGCAGCTGAGATCTGAGGATTATATGAAAATCTGAGCAAGAAAGCCATGAGACTTTCATTTCCAATTAACTACCAAAAAAAGCCAAAGTGGAACTATGAGTAGAGCACTAGCCTTGAGCAAAAAAAGCTCAGGGACAGTACTCAGACCATGAGTTCAAACCCTAAGACTGGCACAAAAAAATGCTATACTAGAGGCATGGCTCATAGTAAGAGCACCAGCTTGAGCAAGAAAGCCAAGTGAGAGCAAGAGGCTCTGAGTTCAGGCTCTGGTACTAGCACAAAAAGAAACAAAATGAGACTTGAACTCCATATAGTTAGATTTTAAGAACAAAATGAAGATCATAATGCAGTAGTACATTGGGAATGGTAAAGTGTCTCTGCAGAATGCTTTAGGGTCAATCTCAGTGTCTCAAAATTGAAAGAAAGAAAGATGGAAAGAAAGAAGAAAAGAAAGAAAGGGAAAAGACAAAACTGAAGAATATATTGCATGTGATAAACTTAATGAACTAAATCTAGAAATTAAACCAATATAACATTGTTACCATAAACTAATTTTTTTACCATATTCTAATTATAAAAATTTCTTATCCTTTCTTTTTTCTTTTTACAGATTCTGTGTCATAAATACCTTATTGGTGTGTTGGCATATTTGACAGAACTGGCAGTTTTTCAAATTGAGTGAGGCCTTGAGTAACCTCTGAATTACGGATCATATATTCTTTTGTCAGTGATTATTTGCTTAGTTGCTACGCTTATAGGAGTGCAAGAGAAATAGGTATCTATCCCTGCGTCTGTTTTCTTCACAGTGCCTTTGGAGTTGATCAAATGGAAATGAAGAACCATCTAGAAGGACAATGTCGTTGGTAGTGGATGAACCACAGCTTTACAGTTACGCAGCAGCCACAATACTGTGGGATAAAAAGTGTTCCATTAATTTGTTGGTCATCTTTTAAAAAGTAATGTTTATTATATTTATTAGTAGTCAAATAAATGTATCTGATGTTTGGTATTGATGACTTGGACCTTTAAAACCTTTAATATCCCTTTTAAGCATTTTGGACTTGTACTCAGAATCTTTGTCTTCAAAAGACATTTTCTGCATTGTTTTGCTATAGAGAACTAAATATCCAAATTCTCAAAAAGAAAATAACATAATCTTAAGCCATTGATATATTTTTTAGAACTATTGGATTCTTATTGCAATGTGGAATTAAATACTTTTAAAATGAAGCAGTGTCGTCCTTAGTGTCTTTTATTTTTGGCAGTAGTGAGATTTTGGTAATATTCAGGGCCTTGAGCTTGCTAGTCAGGTACTCTACTGCTGAGTCACACTTCTTAATCTTCCTCAGTGTCATTTTTTTTGGGTCAGTCATGGGTCTTGAAGTCTGGGCTTGGGTGCTATCCCCTCAGCTCTTCAAGGGGAGCACTCTACTTTTTGAGCCAGTTTTCTAGTAGTTAATTGGAGATAAGAGTCTCATGCATTTTCCTGCCCAGGCTGGCTTTGAACTGCAATCCTTTTAGCCTCCTGAGTAGCTAGGGTTACAGGCGTGAGCCACCGATGCCCAGCTCTTCCTCACTGTCTTAATGATTTTTTTTTTCCAGGGGTGGGGGGACCTGGAGGGTGTGGGTGCTCAAGGTTGGTGTTGAATGATGTGTTTTTTTTTTTAAAAATTATTTTATTTATGGGGTTTTTTTTGGGGGGGTCTCGTCATGGCGCCTGAACTCTGGGCCTGGGTGCTGTCCCTCAGCTCTTCAGCTCAAGGCTAGCCCTCTACCACTTGAGCTACAGCACCACTTCCAGCTTTTTTCTTTTTGCTTATATGGTGCTGAGGAATCAAACCCAGGGCCTCATGCATGCAAGGCAAACACTACCACTGAGCCACCTTCTCAGCCCCTTATTTATGGTTTTTAAAAATTGTTTTATTTATGGTTTTATTTATAGACCTTAAGCTTGCCTGGCAAGAACTCTACCACTTAAGCCATACCCACCCCCAGTACTTTTTTCTTTAGTTGTTTGCCAGTCCTAGGGCTTGAACTCAGGGCCTGGGCACTGTCCCTGAGCTTCTTTCGCTCAAGGCAGCACTCTACCACTTGAGCCACAGCACCATTCAGGCTTTTTCTGTTTATGTGGTACTGTGGAATCCAACCCAGGGCTTTATGCATGCAGGGCAAGCACTCTACCACTAAGCCACATTCCCAGGCCAGTTGTTTCTTTTTTAGATAGGGTCTTGTACTTTCGGCTAGTGGCTGGCTTTGAACTGAGATTTTCCTACGTGTGTCTTCTGAGTAGCCACCACATCTGACCAATTAGGCTTTTCCTCTAGCACAAAGGATACTCACCAGTAATTAAATACAAATTGTAGAGTGGGAAGTGAGCATATTGTACCTCAATGTTAGCTACTTAGGAGGGTGAGATCAGGATTGATGTTCAACGCCATCTCAGACAAAAAAATTCATGAGACCCATCTCAACAGAAAAAGCTGGGAGGGCTGGCATATACCTGTCATGCTGGGAAATGTAACTAGGGGGGATCATGGTCCGGGTTGGCCTAGGCAGAAACAAAACTATCTCAAACATAACCAGAGCAAAGAGAAGCTGGAGTTATGACTCCCTTGGTAAAGTACCAACCTAGTATGTGCAGAGCTCTTGAGTTCAATCCCTAGTGTCACCAAAAGGCAAACAAAACAGCAACAACCTTCATGTCCTAGTTACTATCGTGTTTTTATTTTTTGTCGGTCGTGGGGCTTGAACTCTGGGCCTGAGCACTGTCCTGCAGCTCTTCAGTTCAAGGCTAGCTTTACCACTTGAGCTACAGCACCACTTCCGGTTTTCTGGTGGTTTATTGGAGATAAAAGTTTCATGGACTTTCCTGCCTGGGCTGGCTTTGAACCGCAATCCTCAGATCAGGATTACAGGCGTGAGCCACCAGTGCCCAGTTACCATAGTGCTTTTAAATATATGTAGTCAACTTCCATTTTAGAGATGAATTTTTTATTTTATTTTTGCCAGTCCTGGGGCTTGAACTCTGCCTGGGCACTGTCCCTGAGCCTCTTTTTACTCAAGGCTAGAGCCTATCCACTTGAGCCACAGCACCATTTCCAGCTTTTTCTGTTTATGTGGAACTAAGGAATTGAACCCAGGGCTTCATGCATGCTAGGCAAGCAATCTACAATAAGCCACATTCCCGGTCATAGAGATTTGTATAAGAGATTTGTCCATGTTACATCTTAATCTCCTTTTACTTATTGAGCATAAGATTCAGTTTTATTTTAGAAGTGTTTTTTTAAGTTAACATCTACTTTGAAATTACTTACAATGGGCTTATTCTGGAAGCAAAGATTAATTTTTGGAATGGGATTTCAAATATACTAGAAGCAGATATTGGGGAAAATTGTGGTTTTTAGAGTCAGACATTCGTCCAGGTAATATTAAGCACTGGTCAGTAGGGATAATCCTATAGGTTCTAGTCCTGTAGGAATTACGTTCTGTTGAATGAATATAATTCTATAACTGCATACTTTCAGATGGAGACAAAGTGCTGTGAAGAAAATCAGGCAGCGCAATAGGAAAAGTGATGTCTGAGGTAGGGCATGCTTCACTTGCAGTAGCAAAGAAAGAACACTGGAGCTGGGTCCTGAATGATGCAGAAATCCGCCATATGAGAATTGGAGGAGGTGGAACACAAGTAGAAGGGCCTTGAGACAGGTAAGAGTTTGGCTCACTGAGGAGGAAGGAAGTGTTTGTGTGGTTGGAGCACAGTGAGGGAGGATGGAGTGGTACTAGGTGAAACTCAGGAGGGAACGCAACAGACACTTCTATGGTTTGACTGAAGCATCTGGCTGCCAGAGAGATGACATTTTCCCAGCCTTTGATAGGTATAATCATATGAGTAAGTTCTGACCTAAGGGACATAAATAGAAGTGTCATGTAGCACTTTCTTCAAAGAACTGCAATTGTTTTGTTTGTTCCTATGAGATCTAAAAGAGAAAAAGTCAACATTAATACATGTTTCTTGATCTAAAAGGCATATGAAAAGACAACACTCATTAAATCCCAAAGAAATGAGGTACAAAGATGAAACCTCTGAATGAGCCTAAATTTGTACACAAAGAAGCTAGATTTGCTACTATGTAAAAAGTTTTACACACTATAGCATACAGAAGTAATGTCTCCCCGCCCTCCCCCAAGAACAGAGCCATATTTTGTTAACACTCCATATTCCATGCCAACCCATGGCACAGCGCTTCTCTCATCAATTTATGTGATTGTTCTCATGGGTTTCTGGCTGCACGTTACACTCAAAGGCCACGGCGTCATCCAGGACTTCATCTCAGTTCTGCCCAGAGTAGGTCTGGAGGATGTTCCTTCCTCCCGTAGTCTTCACCAACTGCTGTGACTGCCTAGGGATCCCAGTGCCACAGCTTCCTTGCTTTTAAATTCTTTCTCCCCAGTTGGCAGTGCTGTCCAATTAGAGCCTATTACCTACGGCCTGCTTTAGCGTTTGCTTTTTTTGGCTTGAGGCCTCCTTGTGCGGCAGCTGCCGGATCCCCTTTGACTGACTGGTGAGGGCAGCAGTGACTGAAAGGCTGGGCAGGTGTCACTCAGACCCAAGCCTTCCTTCATAGAAGAAGCAAACATTATGGAAAATGGGAGAACAATCATACCAGAAATAGGAATGTGGACAGCACATAGAGGGGCAGGTGACAAGGATTTTAGGTCCAGCTCCTACCGTGTCATTTAAACTTTTTTAAGCTTCGGTGGACTTATTTTTTTGTCGGTCATGGGTCTTGAACTCTGGGCCTGGGCGCTGTCCTTGAGCTCCTCAGCTCAAGGCGGGTGCTCTGCCTCTTGAGCCACAGCACCACTTCCAGTTTTCTGGTGGTTAACTGAAGAGTCTTATGGGCTTTCCCTCCCCAGGCTGACTTTGAACCAGGATTCTCAGATCTCAGCCTCCAGAGTAGCTAGGACTACAGGCGCAAGCCCCCCGGCACCCAGCTCAGTAGACTTACTTATAAATGAATGCCAGTCCAACCTCCATATCACTCTGCATAAAAAAACGGCAATACCAGTTAAGGGTACCTTTCAGTCACAGTAAAACTAGCGTGTGTTTTCAGTAGGAGAAAACAAAACCAAAAACCCTTAGGTCAGTGCTGTACCTCTGGGTTTATTAAATTTGGGGTGGAGGATCCAATCATACTAGGGGCTTTACCCTAAGCTACATTCCTGCCCATGCAATCACTGCCATATGAATTGCTCCTTCTGAGGACTTCCTAACAGCTTAATCCTTGGAACTTTGGTTAACATTTTTTTTTCTTTTCCTTCAAATATATACAACTATCACCTTGCTTCCAGTCCCTTTTTGCATTGGTTATTTCCATAGGAGAGTCTTAATTTGTCCAGGTAATCCTAGGCTACAATCTTCCTACTTGTGCTTCCCTCGTGCTAGGATAGCAGCTACATGCTATAAGCACCCAGCTGTTGGTTAAGATGGAATTTCAAGAATTTTTTGCAGGAGCTGGAGGCAAACTATGATTTCCCATTCCCTCCTCCTAGGTAGCTAGGCCCTACTTTTTTTTCTTTTTTTTTTTGCCAGTTCTGAGGCTTGAACTCAGGGCCTGAGTACTGTCCCTAAGCTTTTTTTTTGCTCAAGGCTAGCACACTTGAGCCACAATGCCACTTCTGGCTTTTTCTGTGTATGTGGTACTGAGGAATTGAACCCAGAGCTTCATGCATGCTAGGCAAGCACTCTATCACTAAACCACATTCTCAGCCCAGGCCCTACTTCCTACAGGTTCCATCACCTCCTCATTAATAGAGCAATGAGCTAGAGACCAAGTCTTTAACACATGGGCCTCTGAGGGACATTTCCTGTCCATATTACAGCAGATTGTTAGTCTATTTTGCTTCCAGGCCATGCTTCAGTTAAACTTATAATGGCAGTGTAACAGAAATGGAGTGGGAGTTTGGGAAACTGATACTTAATGTCTAATGTCACTTCTATCATTACCT